CAGCCTTCCCTACTCTCCTAGTCATCTGTATTCTGCCCTGGAATCAGGCTGGGGCCCAGATCTTCTGGGTGTTGCACGGCATGGGTGCGTGATGCTCTCTGTTGTTTGGGAGACCATACTGTATTAGTTTGATGATCTAAACTACAATCATAAAATCTGACTTGTGGACTAGTCTCTCCTAAATTGTCAACCTTCTGCCCTTTATATGGCATTTGGTACTTCCTTCTAGAAACTCTCTGATCCCTTGGCCCTGGGGATGCTGGGCTACTTGGTTCTCCTCCCACCCCTGACCACACCTCTGGGCTCCCTGAGGGGCTCCCCGGAGCCTGGGTCAGCCCTCTGCCCTTGTTCTTGCCACACTCCTACCTCTCCTCATTTGAAAGGCTCCCTCATCCCCAGCCAGACTGTATTTCTGAATGCAGGTGGGGTTCCCCACTTGATCACCTCGTGGGGCTGTCACCTCAGACTCCCCGTTCTCTCCCCCTTCTCCCTTTCTGATCGCCCTAATTTCTCACACAGACAGGAAGACAGAGCACATTAATCCCAGGAAGGGATGGAGATTACAGTGACATGCAGGCACAGTGACATGGACACTTGGATACAGAGCCAACAGACAATAGTCTAGGGTTTCTAGAAGGAAGTACCAAATGCTCCCTGGAATTCAGGAGCACTTTTAAGCAGAGGACTAGGCCCAGCCTTTGCCCAATGCCATGCTCCCTGGCCTAAGGGTGCCCTGAGGAAAGGGGAGAGACCTGAGACCATCCTAACTAGGCTACAGACCAGACAGCCAAGGATTCAGAAACCTTGGCTTGACCTTAGGCAACTCTTGGCTTCCAAAGGGCAACATCATTCCAGCTGTTCCTCACCTTCCCACACATTCCCGTGCACGGCTGCCTTTGTATGAGGGTCCTTTCTCCAAAGCTGACCACAGAGGTGTGACATACTACCACCTGCTGACTGCCTCAGAGCTGAGGGCTTCTGTGGCTGGAGCATGAGTTCAGGGTTGTGAGAGGCAGACAGGCAACCCCCTCTAGACCAGCAGTGAGGCCAGCTCTGACCGTGGCCCAGTGAGAAAGCAGACGAGACCAGAGGTGGCCCTCTCACCCCAGCCCTGAGAGGAGAAGCTTCCTGAGGTCCGCCATGCCCCCTCATGGGTGGGCATCCAAGAGTCTAGCTTGTGGAACATTGCAGCTCTTGGGGGCAATGCTTGACATCAGGTTCTTGAGACTGACGGTCTTGACCCAGATAACAGAAGATGAAGAGTGGAGGGGGAGATGGGACCCAAGAGAAGCAAAAAGAATTTGAAAGAGTGGCTCCCCTCCACCACCACCACAACTGGGCCAGTCAACTATGGGAGAACCTCAGGGATCAGCTAGCCAAGGGTTTCACAATTTTTTAAAAACAGTGAAACTCATCAAATCAAGTCTCGTGCAGGAACATCAGACATGAAAGTGTACAGAGGAACAGTTCTGGTTGAAGCAAGGCCTGTTGGGTTTCCCTCTGGCAGTTCTTCTGGGTAATCTCAGGGCATCCATGGCTTGATTTTTCAAGGTGATAACAACAATAATAGTAATAATAATAATAATACCACTTTACACATGCCAGAACTTTGCAGTATATATTTTTACATACAGTATCACACCCAGTCCTCATGCTAGCCCTGTGACAACACCACCCATCATTTCCAATGAAGTACTTGAGACCCTGAGTTGTCAAGTGATGTGCCCCAAATTGCACAGCTAGCCTGTGGCAGAACAGGAACTTGAACCTAGGCTTTCTGACTCCAAGTCCAGTGCTCTTTTCTCTGTGTCATGGCTGGGGGAAGATGTACCATATCCCAACCAGCACCAAAAGGGAGGTCTTAATGAGAGGAAGCACAGCCTAGAGACCAGCCCCGGAGCCAACCACCGGCATTCAGTCTCTGCTGCCATTTGTTTCTGTGGGTCATCTTTTCCTTGCCTAGAAAGCAGGATGACAACACTACCTGCCTCTGAGGCTTGGAGTTAAGATGAATTGTGCGAATCCATGTAAATTACAAGCACACAGTGCCTGGCACATAAATAAGCTCCTAATATCTATGCATGTCTATCCTTCACTCCTGGCCAGCATTTATTCAGTGCCTGCTCCATGCAGAAGTCTGCACCTGTCCTATTGTGGGAGGCGGGTGGATGGGACAGGACGCCAAGGTACCAGAAATGCCTGTTCCTGAAGTCTGCAGTCCTGATGGGGATCACATCTATATGCAAAGCACAGCAACATTTCCAGAGCAGTCAGGTCTTAAAAATGCACCTTAGAGCACGATAAAAATGCTGGCTTGGACACCTTACCCCAGAGAAACAGACCTCTGTGCTGGAGGCCTATTTGTTACAAGAGTTTAGCCTCCCCTGATTGATATAGTTCTCCTACTGAGAGTAGCTAGAAGTCTGCTTTTTAAACAAGTTCCCGTGCTAGAGTCTACTCCCCATTACCATTTAAGTAGCACCAAGTTGGACCATTGTGCCAGCTTCTAGATCACTTCTCCTCCTCACTGGCCTCTCCCTGCCTCCACGTCTCTGAGTTTCCAGCCTGGGGCTGGACCTCTCCTCTCTTCTAACTATACTCCTTCTTCTGGTGAGCGAGCCTGCCTTAAATGCCATCTATGGCTGACAATGCCCCCGGCTTCCACCTGCAATCTGGACCTCTGATTCTAACTGCCTGGCCCACTTCTCCACATCTGTTTACTAAGAGGGATCTCAAACGTAGTACATCCAACCCTCCCCACCTGCTCTTCCCACAGCCTTCTTCCTGCTTGGTTCAATGGTACCACCAATCAATCACCCTGTTGCTTGGACCAAAACCTCCACAGTCATCCTTGGCTCCTCTTACGCTCCACCCCACAACACCAAATCCCATCAGCTCTTCTTCCAAACACACTTCCCACTGCTCACCATTTCAGCCCACCCGCTCTGAGCCAAGCCGCTGCCACCTCCCCACTGCTCACAGCATAAGTCTGCCAGCTGTCCCCTCCCTCTGTCCCTCCCCGCTGGCCGAGTCACAGTCCAGTAGCCGGTGCCCTCCTTTTAAAAACAGGTCAGACGTGTCATTCCTCTACGCCCATGGCTCCATCTCACTCAGGGTAAAAGCCAGCGTCCTTAGCATCCCATGTGACCTGCCCTCCGTTCTCTGTCTTATTTCCTAGAGCTTTCCTCCTGTTCACACGCACACTCCCACCACAACGGCCTCGCTTTTTCTTGACTAGTAGAAGAGCCTACGGAGACTGGAGAGGCCACACGTGTCCCCATGTCTGCAACGCTCCTTTCCCTGACACCTGAATGGCTTGTTCCCTCGTTTCAGGTACCTGCTCAGATGTTACCTCATAAGTGAGGCCTTTGCTGGCCAGCCCCCAAGGAAATGCAGCTTCTCTGCACTAATTACCACCTAGCGGGTTATATGTTTACTTCTTTACTGTCTGCCTTCTCCTGCCAGAATATAAGCTCTGTGAGGTCTGAGATGCTGCTGTTGTTTACTAAGGAACCAAGACCTAGACAGTGCTCATGACAGGCACTGAACAGATACTACGGAAAGACTGCACGGCTGCCTTATTCTGCAGAAAGCAGGCCACCTCCTTCCCACGCAGCCCAGCACTTCCTGGTGCCCAGCACTTCTTATTTCAGCTGTCGGTAAGTCCTGAAATGCTACCCCTTTCAGCTAGAGAAGGCAAAGCTGGCTGGTGATGGCCAGCCTGGGGAGGGGTAGCTGGTACCGGGAGCTGCTCTAGCCCCATGGGGCTGAAAGTGTGAACTAACTCCTGGGGAGGGGAGCCAGGTACCTGGGAAGGATAGGAAGACACTGAGGAGCATTTTTAAAGGTAGACAAGCCCTCAGGTCAATTCAATAAACACGCATGGGTGCTTCACCTGGTGCTAGAGAGCTCCAATCACACTTGCCAGGCTCTTTTCTGGAGGTTTCATCATGGCAACAGGTAAGAACGGAGAGCCAGGTTTCCCTTTTCAGCCCACTCTCTTGTTTTCAGCATCTATTTCAAACCTTACTCCTCTCCACGAACCTTGGCCACGCCCCCCAGGCTCGCCAGGAAACTTCACTTCCTACTGCACAGAAAAAAATAGCAGTTTTCGGCCCAGAACTACCTCCACTTCCTGCTGTGAGACCGGCGCACCTTCCCGCGTGGGGCCCCTTTCCCCCCCAGGGCTGTGACTAAGGGGGCCTCTGAATCAGGCCAGGCTCTCCACCTGCACTGGACTCCGGCTGCTTTGGGGGTCTTTGGTGTCAACTGCCACCCACTCCACGTGCTGCGCCCCCAACCGCTCCCCTTCAGGGGGCTCCCTTCAGCAGCACTGCCAGGGGTCTCCTGCATTCCTCTAAAACCCGAGCCTCCCTCTCACAGCCAACCTTCTTCACTCATCCGCCCCCACACACTGTGGGGTGCCTGCCTCCTCCGGGCTCTCTTCAGTCCCGTCCTCAGCCACCCTGGCCTGGCTAACACCCCCACCACGGTCCCTAGTGACTTCTGGGCCACTAACACCAAAGGTGAGTTTTCCGTCTTCATCCCACCTGGCCCCCTCAGCAACACCTGACACAGCTGACCCTCCAGGCTCTCCCCCAAAACACTTTTGCCTTTAGCTCCTGCAACTACAGTCCTGGCATCAAACACCACGTAGAACGAACAACTCCAACTGGCTCTCCTCAGCCCAGTCAGCTCCTCTGCCTCTACACCCACACATGCTACGCCCCATCTAGTGTCTCCTTTTGAACAGCCTGCAGGCATCCTAAAGCCAACACACACGTAACACTGAACCGATTCTCCTCTCCTGGCTGCTCTCTCCAAAGCCCCCCCCTTGGTGCGGACCCACTCCTCACCCGGCATCACTCCCCGTAACGCTGTCTCCGCAGCCCCCACCTCCAGTCACCGAGGCCCCCTGAATGCTCCTCACAGATACATTCCGCCTACTTGTCCCCACCCAAAACCACCGACCCCTGATGGAAGCCACCATCCCCTCTCACCTGGGCCACTGGAACAGCCTGATAGCTGGTGCCCCCTCACACACTTGCTGCTCCGAAGCAATCTCCACACAGCAGCCCCACCGAGCTGCTGAAAACAGAGGTTTATATAACGTGTTGGAGGCAACACAGCTGGTCAGTGCTGGGTGAGGATTCAGTGCTTGCCTCCTATCCAAGTCACTACACCACACTGTCCCTGGCGCCCACTCACTGCCTGAGATGCAGGCGGTGTGCCCCACGAGGGGAAGTGCGACGACCCACCGCGTCTTCTTTTTTGGCTCTCACGTCCCCCTTGGGGTCTACAAACAAAAATGACAATTCCACTTTTCCAAATGAGGGAGGAAAATAGAGTTTGAGGGGTTCAAAGAGTCACCCAGCAGTAGGTGGAACACAGGTCTCCTAGCTCCTTGTTGGGGTGATTTTCTCGATGCATGACCATTGTTAGGCACTGGCAGGTGGAACTGCAGGAAAGCCGTGCAGAAAACAGTTACCGTAGCAGGCCTAGACTGCTCCTCTTAGGAAGGTCTGCTTGCAAGGATGGCCCTTGGCTGCTATCTGCTGGGAAGGTGGATTTCGGGCAGGTTCCCTAACTGATAAGGTGGCTCACTGTGCCTAGACTGTTCTGCAAATGATGTGGTTTATGCTGACCACCTGTTTTCTTCTGGAAATCTGGAGTTTTGGTATATGCTAGGTAGAAGGCACCTAGATAACCAGTCCTCAATAAAAACCCTGGTCACTGAGTCTCTGATGAGCTTCTCTGGGGGACATTTCACTCAGTGCTGGAGAAACTACGTCCTATGTGGCTCCACTGAGGGAAGCCTCTTGGAAGCTTGTGCTTAGTTTCTCTGCACTTGGCCCTGAGTGCCTTTCCCCTTTGCTGACTATGCTTTGTATTTTTTCGCTGTAATAAATCACAGCTGTACAACTATAGGATGAACCCTGTGAGTCCTCCTAGCAAATCACGGCATGGTCTCAGAAACCCCCAAGGCAGAAGCCTTCCTAAAAAGAGATGAATTTTGATTTTTCTTTGAAAAGGTGAGGGGGGCATTAATTAGCATATTAAAACAGGAGGCATTCCAGGTGGAAGAAATGATATGAAGAAAAATTAGGAATAGATAAGCCAGGTGTAGGAATAGATAAGCCAGGTGCGGAAGGCCCTGCAACTGTTTAATGTGGCCTATACAGAGCTGATCTTACGAAAATCAAGCATTACAGTTGTGAGCTGGAAGAGACGGAGACTGGAGAGGCCACACGTGTTGGAATGATCTAGTGTCAGTGGAGTGAGCCACTTGAAGTCACACAATTGGAACTGTTAGTATCAAGGAGGGATTGAAAGAATTTAGTGGGTGGCTGCCTACAGCTAAGCTGGCGTTGGCCATTTCCGAGGAAGGTCTCCTAGAGTACTATGGAGAGGTTGAAGCAGCATGCCAAAGCCTGGTTTTTCAAATAAACCACCTCAACATAAGGAAATCAGCTGCAGAATAACTGCTTCCCATCCATGAAGCTCAATCATTCACACAGTCCTGTATCCCTTTGAAACGCCTTTACCCCAAATCCAATGTTGTCCAGCCCTCCTCTCCACCGCTTCTCACTCCTCAGGAGGGCTTTCTGGAATAACCCTACTAGATTGTTTAATTGCTTCTATTCTGCATCTACTGAGCACTTAAGCCTTTGCTTTTATGTTAAATTATTTTCTGCCTTTGACCCGGGGAAGCATGAGTAGATGTTCCTAGATTGTATCACAGGTACCTGCTCCGTCTCTTCCTCTGAATCCTAACATCACAGAGGCTGAAGGCAGCCTTTCATGAACTGGCAGCTGCACCCCACCACCTGCTTCCATCCTCCAGCACCAAGGGCGCCTCTAACAGAAGGCTCAGAGCATGGCCTGGCTGTTCCCCGCCACCCCCCTTGGGAAGGGAGCACAGAAGGGCTCTGGCTCGCAGCCTGGCACCAGGGAACCTCACTCCCCACCCTGCTCTGACCTCATAGCTGGATCCTCTCTCAAGTAACTGTTCCGGCTCCTGGTGATCAAGCCAGCGCCTGATTTTGCTTCCCAAATCCATTTTATTTCTTCTGCTGGGTCCCTGTGTGGCCTCCCTGCCCAGTACTATTATTTCTCCAAGGCCACAGCTGCTCTGCCCCAAGTTCTTTTAAAGACTGGAATCCTGCCCCAGAAACCCACCCCCAGCAGTTGGGCTTCCATTATCTGATGCTGCCTGCCCTCCTCTCTGCCCTTGGCCTGCCAACGACTCATCCCAGCTTATCCCCACCATGCCCTGTCCCAGTTCACCTACCCTGGCACCTGAGGTCTGCTTGGTCTAGAAATTGCCAAGTGGCAGCAGTAGGCTAGTTTAAATAATGGTCTACCCTGGCACAGAGCAGCTCTTTCGCTTGTTTGTTTTTAATTTGAATTTGAATGCCTTTACACTAAATGCACACTTTGCACGTCCCCAGGGACCCTACAGTGCCATTTTGCTATCAAACACCTGGAAGAAGAAAACCAGCTTAACTGAGTCCCCACCAGACACTAGGCTCTGTGTATACACTGACTTGCTTAATCCTTTCAGCAACCCACATGGGCAATGTTATTATCTCTGTTTACTAGTGGGAATACAGAAGCTCGTGGAAGCTGGGCAACTTGCCCAGATCAAACAACTACAACCAGCAAGTCATGAATCCAGATTCAAACCCAGGCCTGCCAGATTCTGAGGTCTGCACTATTTCCACTATGACATCAGTGAAAGCAGTAGGTCTTGATTAGGCTGTGCATTAAGGAGGTCCCTCTGCAGCAGAGGGGAAGAGAAAACAGAAGGGCAGGGTAGCGAGAGAAGGGACAATTACAGTAGTACAAAAGAGGTCGGGTGGATGGGAACTCAGGCAGTAGCCCAGGGAATAGAGAGCGGACCGGGACAGGCTCGAGGAGACAGGGCAGAGGGAACTAAGGGTGAGCAGTGATGTCCGCAAGGGTTACGGAGAACACACAGGGAGGCAGTTGTGTCTAAGGTGCTCCTGAAACACCCCAGTGAAGATTTTGTGTATCACAAATCAAACTGGCCTGGAAGAGAGAGAGATCAGAGACTTGATTAGCGTATCCTTAGGGGTGTTGGTTTAAGCCTTGGGAGGACAGGAGAGCTCTAGGAAGAGGAACATGGGGAATAGAAGGTCGGCCTCGAGGACACACTCTCAGTGCCACACCAAGCACACGCAGGGTGGGAGGAGGATGAGAAGCTCGAGGTCAAGGGAGGGAACATGAGTGGGGACGGTGGCACCCTCTGAGATGAGCAACAGCTGCAAAGCAGGCTGGCGACTGAGGATTACCAGGCCCTGGAAACCTTCAGCAGGCAATCTGAGCACACGGCAGGTGCCCGGTGTCTGGGGAGGATGGAGCACAAATGCTGGCTGCTCTTTCTAGAAGCTTGTCAGTGACAGTGAGAGAAGAGGGGCTGGGGAAACACAGGTCTTCCTGTTTAACAGACTGAGCATGTAGGGAAGGGGCAGGAGCCGGTGGTAAGGGACCAATGGCCGGAATCTCTCAGAGGGAGGAGAGGGCTGGATCAGGAGTATAAGTGGGGAAATTCCAGGGATGTTTGGAATGGGTGAGGAGGGAAGCTGACGGAGCACCTGTCAAGAAAGGAGATGTGGGCAACTGCCGACAGAAAGCACGATGGGCACCCCTCCCAGCTTATGGGGGGCACTCACAGGGCTCTGGCCTTCAGCGTGGGCCACAGCACCTGCAGGTTCATTCAGATGGACACTTGCTCCAGCACCATCTAAGCATGTGCCACCACCTGCCTCCAGATAACAATATGAGCGGGTGCTCATCACTGTCACTGCAAATGGACTTCAAATTTTTCTGTTGGAACTGATGAGTATTTTCACTTTTATTTCCTCCCTGGTCCTAGAGCCCACTTCCTCCCAAGACAGGGCCTGTTGGGTGTAAGGGTTGACTGCTGTCTGCCACTCCAAACAAAGCTTTTCTCTGGGTCAAGTGACACTCCCTGGGGTCCAGGCCTGGCCTTAGCAGGGGCAGGAGACCTGCCAGTCTTGGGGACTGTTTCTGCCTGGCAGCACGTGCCTCACTGCCCCCAACATACCATGGATATCCACTCCCTACAGCCCCACCAGGGTGACAGCTCTTGCTACAGTGGAACCTCACAGAAAGCCACCACCTAGGCAGGAAAACTTTTCAGACACCAGGTCGGTGACTGCTCCCACTTCCTCTGGTCCATTAGCTCATAAATGCCCGGATCAGTGATAAAGGTATTAGACAGCCTAGGATGAATGTCTTTCTGTCCCCGTGCCCTTCCTGTGCCCAGAATCCTGGCTTCCTCTAGCCAAGAGGCTGTGAGAAGAGTTCAAGAGTTGGAGTCAGAAGACTTGGGCTGGGGTGCTGACTGGTCCCTACATACTGTGCAGTCTTTCAAGTCACTTCTGAGCCCCAGCTTGCAACCAGGTAAAGTGGAAAGGGCAGCACCTGCCCCTCCCTCCTCCCAGGGAAGCAGTGAGGAGTTAATCAGGAGAGATGGGCTATCTGTAAATTATATAGCACTATTCTGACTTCTGGGATCTAAGTAAGTCCTGTGGGCAGCTCGCTCTCTCTCTCTCCAGAGCCCTGCCCAGCACATGTTCCCCAGCCAGCAATCCTTGGCAGCCCAAGGCACAAGGGAGACATAACTCAAATGAACTCAATGCAAACATTTGGTTAGGCCAACTTGATGCCAGATTCCCGGACATAAACGAGAAAAGACACAGGTCTTGCCCTAAGTTCAGTCGGCTGGTAGAGCCAACAGAGAAGGTGTCTGTTAACGCAGGGGCCATGGCAGTCTCCAGAACAATTTGCTCCATGTTGTCAGGAACAAACCATACAAGCGTTATCAGAGTCTGGGTCCCTTGCCAACCCCTGAGACTGAGAAAGAGGTGGGCAGATTCAGCTTTCTGAGAAACCTGGGTGGGAGCCTACCGCAGACAACCGAAGACCTCGGACACCCAGTCCTGGCCCAGCAGTGGAACCCAAAGGGTTACCACACTCCCTGCTCCACTCCTACCAGCTGGGAGATGTGGACAATGAGCCTGCTTTGGCCTGACTTGCAAGGATATCATGGGGGACAAAACGAGGACAAAAATGACAACAGCAATGAGAAAATGTTTTAAAAAAGAAAGAGCTTTACAAACAATGAATTAGCAATTTTTTCTTCAGAATCCTCCCCGGTAAAACTGAGAGAATACAGAAGCTCTATCTGTCTACATGCTGACGAGGCTTTCCCATGGCTGGCCTAATGGGACTGACTCAGAGCCATCCAGTAACCTCATGCTGCGAATCATCTCCACTGAAATACCCCCATTTCAGTGCTGCCAGTGGTCGGAGCCTGTCTTCTTTCCATCGCTCTGCCACCCACGGCCAGTGGGTAGGTACTTAGGTGCTGCCTGATGGAAACATGGCCCCAGACCACCACCCTGGGACCTGAGAAAGTCACCTCCTCTCCGACAGGACTTCCGGAGGCTAGCTCAGGCAGCAGGCTTTCTCCAGCCTGTGTGCAGGACCCAGGGAGGAAGATTCCAGCATCTAAGTGCCTACCCACTCCGCAGAGTTCAAAACAACACAAAAGGGAAAACAATGAAAAAACCTTTATAAGGGCTAGCCATTTTCTGCTGCCATCTCACATCCATCTTTCCTACAGGAATTCCTGTCTCATCCCTTTAAAGTGGAGTCAGGGGTGGGAGTATGAAGGTGGGAAGGGTTTTGCACTAACCATCCATCCTGTTGACACCCGTTTGGCTGTGTGTGCACAAGGCAGAGCCGGCGGCTGGACCCTGGATCTGAGAGGTCCTACCCAGCCTTTCCCTGCCTAAAATTATCTCACACACACCGAGAGCTGTTCTATTTGCAGAAGTACCTCAAAACCAGTTTCTTTGCCTTTTAGGTCTCCCAGAGTCCTTTTAAAATGCAAGTATCTCTGCAGGAAGGAACCATATTCCCCTGGCCCTCGCTCAGTTCTCACACAGCACCTGTGCTCAAATATTTACTGTATTATACAGGTTATTAGCGGCCTGTCCCCACAGGACACGGGTCAGAGCCCAGGGCTGTGGTAGGTGCGGCTGCAGGGGAGCCTGGGCGGGGCGCCTCGCCTCATTTCACCGGCCTCCCCACTCGTCTGGTGCAGCCCTGCCTGCCGAGCCCACAGCTGAGTCTCGTGAAACTAAATCTGAAATCGCCAAATATGGAAACTCTGCAGGAGGGGCAGCACCAGGCGAGAAAGTCAGCGGAAAGGCCCAGTGGGCTTAACAGCAAGATCGTGGCCCTAAGTATTCACTGAAAAGTCTCAGAATTGCCAAACCCTTCAGAGCTGTAACGAGGGGGAGGCAATCTGGTCCGGGGAATCCGATTCCACCAGTTCTCTGGTGTCCCCGGCAACTCATTTAGCCTCTCCGAGCCCTCCGGTTTCTTCCAGGACCCCTTTGGGCCCGCCTTGGAGGGTGACGGGTTGTGTTTCTAAATAAGCTCGCTCAATCGAAGTTTGTGAAGGTTTCCATTCATTCCAACACTAAAGTTTCATTTGGGGGGCTCTGTCTGGCGAAGTCTTGCAGAAGTGGAGGCAGGGCCAGGGCTTTGCAGTGAGGTGTGCGGGGCACGCCTGGAAGTCCGCCGGGTCCTGCGCACCCCAGCCTCGGCCTGGTCGCCCCAGTCCACGGGTCCCAGCTTGGGACCCCCAGTCTCCGTCCTCGCCACAGCCTTCAGCTGGGAAAGCCGCTCCGGACCCGGCGCCAGGGGCCCGCCCCGCCGCCCCGCTCGCCCGCAGCAGCGGCCGTCTGCCCCGCCGGCCTCTCCCGACCCCCGCCCGCCGCCCCATGCGGGTCACAGACTCGGGGGACGCAAGAGGGACGGGCGCCCAGGCCCGGGGACCCAGCAGCCCGGCGCCGGGAGGGCGCGGGGCGCGGGGAGGCGGCGGCGGGGCTCAAGCAGCCGCGGCGCTTTCGCTTTCAAAGTAAGTGGGATAAGCCGAAGGGCGCTCCTCGGACCCCTCAGTCCAGCCCTCCGGCCGCGGGGCTTCGTCCCCGGGCGGCGTCCTGCCGACTCACCTGTGGCTGCCCCACGGGATCTGCTGGCGCCGGTCGGCAGGCGCGTCGCCACCGCGGCAGCAAGCGGCCGCGGGGAGCCGGGGGCGAGGCGGGGGCGAGGTTCCCAGCCCCCCACCCGGCGCGTAGACCCCGCCCGCGCGGGAGGCGGGGCCCGGCGGGGGGCGGGGCCCTGGAGGTGTTGAGTGGGAGGGCGGGGCCCTGGAGGTGTTGAGTAGGCGGCTGCGACGCTCCCGAGCGGTTGGCACTCGAGCCTACTCTGACTAGAATCATGGGCGCCTCCAAATAAAAATCACCTCAAGCGCCTTGAAGAGGATACATCTTACCCTTCAACCAGGGATGACCAGGCTCAGCCAGTCCTTTCATGCTTTGACCCATTAGCTCAAGGTCTGAGGCACAGCTCAGATGTGGAGCCCGGAGGAAACAAGCAGGAGGGAGGCCGAGCTTGGAGTCATGTTGCGGGGCACGGGGCGGGGGACACTGATGCATTTAAGAGTATGTGTCCAAAGGGGTCTAGAGGAGCATCCGGAGTGCCTGCTGCCCCTGCCCGGTCTCTTATTTTTCAACAAGGCCAGAAATCCAGATTTACACCTTTCGGTTGGTGAGCCAGGTGGGGAGATGGGTCTGTAGGCATCACTTCGGGACCTCAGATCCACCACGCTGTCTTGCTGTGAGAGTTAAATGAGATGTACTCCTGAACTCCTGACACAGAGTAGGTGCTCTAGGACTTAGTTCCCCTCCCTGTTCCTTTATACAATATACCTCTTACTGCCTATTGCCTGCCTCCGTTCTCAGTTAGGCCCCAGCCGCCCACCACTCCCCAGCAGGGTATGTTTGGTAAAGGTGTATCTCCTTTCACTGGCTAGAAACACAAATGTGTAATGTGTATATGTACAGGGATGTTCAGGGCCCCTAGGACTCTCGTGGGCTGTGATTCTGCCGTCTCTCCCCACCACTTCCCCATCAGTTTGTCCCTAGAATGAGAGCCAGCTTTAAATATGATGGAATCAGATCCTGGGATAAATAGTGAATCTTTAGTGGTGGAAAGTGGGGGCCGCGTGACTCCAGGGCTAGGAATCTAAGTGGGAGGTAGAGGAATTTTAGAAGTTAGTTGGAACTCAAGGACATGTTCACAGTTTCCCTTTTTGATCACAGAATCATAGGCAAGGTGTCTGGGAGAAGAGAGATGACAGATCCCAGGCCCTAGCCCAGTCTGATGAAGGAGTATGATTCCTTTCTTCGAGGACTTTGAAGATGGATGGGAAGGACAAGACATAAATGCATATGTAAAACAAACATGAAATACTTTTAGATGATAACACACTAAGTCTTATTATACACCAGGTATTGTGCTCAGTGCTTTATCCGTATTAACCCATAATCATCAACCCTCTTTGATAGATGAGAAAACTCATCTCTTGAATGGTTTGCCCCAAACAGCAAAATCCTTTGTGAGATGGTGGGATTTGAACCTGGGAAGTCTAGCTCTGGTGCTCCTAGCCGCTACACCACCCAGCACCTCAAATAAATGGTTGGTGTGAGTTCAAACGAAAAAACTTTAAGTAGGAGAAAATTTTTTTATCAGTTGTAGTGTTCTGAAAATATCTGCAGTGTTTATAAAGAGAATCCAGTCTTCAAACTAAATTCATCTATACAAATAAGGGTGGGATTGGACTATCCACCACATTTTTACAAAGAAGAAAGAAGCTAAACTTTTATCTGTTTCTTCTCAACACCCTAAGACTACCCTGGGGCTTCAGAAAGACGTGGGTTTCAGCTGTTTAATTTGATGAATTTGATGGAAAAATTGATAGGGTAAGAGATTGCTCTCCAAGCTGTCTACAGACAGACGGTGCTAAAGGAGAGGGGAGGGCGCCACCTATTGGAACAGTAATGGATTCATTATCTTCCTCAGGCTGTCCTGTGACGGATCAATAATAGTCCATTAATTGGAGCAAGGTTAAAAATCATATACCTTCCATCACCTAGAGATCAATGAGACCAGACAAGGAGGAACAGTCCTCTCCTTGGGCCGTATTGCACCTCTAACTTCCATTGCGAGTTACAATGCAAAGAAAGTCTTTGCTCGTAATGAAACTAACTGCACGTGGAAAGTGTGAAATAGCAGCAAATCAGTCCCAGACGAAAAGCAAAAAAATCTCAGAGCTCTGAGCACATAGAAAGCTCATTTGCTCACTAAGTAACACTGAGGCAACAAATGGATGTCTGTGGGTTTTCTGTATTTACTTTCTTGAACCAGGGACGTGTGGTGTGTTGGCTTCCATCTAATAAATTTTACCGCAGCTCTGCCTGTTAGTTTGCTGATGAGAGGGAGAGAGGCAAGGGGGTGCGGTGGGTAGGTTCCTCCCAAGACTGATGTCGGTTTTTTTGGTGTTTTTTTTTGAGACTCTCTTTCCAAAGACACAACTATTGTCTGTACCACAGTTTATGCATTTGCCTACTAATGGACATCCTGATTGCTTCTAAGTTTGGGGCATTATGAATAAAGCTGCTCTAAAGATATTTGGGTGCAGGTTTTTGTGTGGGCTTATATCACTATATATTCTGTATTTATTCCAGGGGTCTCCCCATTCAATAAACACACTCACCCTCCCCTTCTCTGCTCATGTTTGACTGATAGCCTTTTTGGTGGAAAAATGAGATTTTTATCGTTTTAAAATTAAGCCTGCGGTCTTCATTGTATGTTTGGCTAAATGTAGATAGATTCTGTCCACCTTGACAGGTCCTTTAATAAGACTCATACGTGCAATTACCATCAGGGCTTAGAAAAACATTTTAACATTGTTAATTCTGCATAGTCCCTGTAAGACATTAAAATACTGATTTTAAGCTTATTATTTAGCCTTAGGAACCATGAAGTAAGATCATAGAATTGATTGGCACAATTCAGTTTTGTTAGACTTTGTAATAGGCTGGTAACAAGGAAGACAATTTATTTGGTATCTCTTCTTTTGAGGATGATACCTACTCTCTACAGAAAGATTTTAAACAATGCTCTTGTAACCCTGGTTGGCCACATCCTCCATTTCATAGAAAATTAGACAGAAGCATTAAGAAGAAAATTATAAGCTCAGGAAGTACTTGTCCTGGGAAAAATCGACAAAGTTCAAATGCTTTGGACTCCCCCAGCACCACCACAGTATTGCATGCCCTTGCCCCTCTCTCTGTCTTGAGAAATCCTGGCAATCTTTTTTTGGACGAATGAGTGCCTCATCATGGCACCCCATCAGGGGCAGCCGCATCCACTGCACATACTTTTGTTCAGTACTTTTTCTTTAATCCTTTTTAAGACAACTTTATTGTTATACTCTCAGTACCACAAAATTCCCCAAACCAGTGCATTCTAGAAAACGTCTGCAGTTATGCAACCATAACCACAATGAAATTTTGGAACAAGTCTATCTCCCCTGTGGTCTTTTGCAGCCAATCCCCAGTCAGGCAAGAGCAGATCTGCTTTCCATTTCTCTAGTTTTGCATTTTCTGGAAAATGTATATAAATAAACATGTAGTATTTTGTGTCAATCAGCATGTTTTTGACGTTCAGCCATTTTGTTATACGTATCAGGCTTTTTTCCTTTTTTATGGCTGAGTAGTATGCCATTGTGTGGGTATGTCACAGTCTATTTATCCATTCACCAGCTGACAGATGTTTGGATTATTTCCAGTATTTGGCTATTATGAATAATACTATGAACATTTGAATGCAAGATTTTGTGTGGACAAGCATTTTCATTTCTCTTTAGTGGGTCATGGGGGACATGTTCATTAAATCTGTTGGGAATTGCCAGTTTTCCAAAGTGGCTTTATCCCTGTATTATATTACATTTCTTACAGCCATATGAGGGATTCCAGTTTCTTTGTATTCCTGATAACAGTTAATATTGTCAGTCTTTTTTAATATTAGCCATTCTAGGGTGTTATAAATGTCATTGTAGCTTTACTTTGCATTTCCTCATGACTAATGATGTGATATTTGCATTTCTTCTTTGGAAAATGTCTACTCAAATCTTCTGCCCATTTAATTGTTTTTGGTCCTCTTATTATTGACTTAAAGGAGATACTAAGTTCTAAGAGTTCATTATACATTCTAGATACAAATCTTATGTCAGATACATGTTTTGCAAATATTTTCTCCTGGTCAATGATTTGCCTTTTTATTTTCTTAGTTGAATCTTTTGAAAAGATCTTTTTTAAATTTTAATGAAATCCAATTTATCATTTTTTTTCTACTGTGGATCATGCTTTTGGTGACATATTTTCTTCTACATTTTCTTTGAGAAGTTTATAGTTTTAATTTTTACATCTAGGCCTATGATCCATTTCAAGTTAATTTTTTGCATATTGTGAAGTAAGGATCAAGGGTTTTTTGTTTTATTTTTACATAAAGATAGCCTGTCTTTTTTGCCATTGAATTATCCTAACATATTCACTGATAATCAGTTGACTATATATGTGTGATTCTATTTCTGGACTCTTTATTCTGTTCCATTGATCTATATGACCAGTCTTAACATGACTATCATTACTATATTCATAACTGTGGTTTTATAACAAGTATGGAAATCAGTATCACCCAAGTTTGTTCTTCTTTTTCAAAAATGTTTCAGTTAGTCTAAGTTTTGAGTTGACACTTGTTTTTTAAATAAAGTTTTATTGACATATAGCCATGCCTGTTCATTTACATATTTTCTATGACTGCTTTTGAATGACACTGGTAAAGATGAATAATTGCAACAGACTGTGTCCCTGCAAGGTCTAAAATATTTACATCTGGCCATTTATATAAAAAGTTTGGTGGTCCTGCTCTAGGTCTTTCTCATAACTATATATACTTTGCTATTAGCTTGTCAGTTTATACTAAATAAGCCTGTTAAGATTTTGGTAGTGATTGAGCTGAACCTATAAATCAATCTGAGGAGAATTACTATCTCAACAATATTAAGTCTTCTAATCCATTAATATGGTATAACTTTCCATTTGTTTAGTTCTTTGTCTTAGCAATATTGTATGGATTTCAGTGAACAGGTCATTTACATTTTTGTTAAATATATTTCTAAGTACTTTATTCTTTTTGATACTATTGTGAATAAGATTATTCTCTTAAGTCTATTCTCAGATCATTCATTGCTACTATATAAAAAACACAATTGATTTTATGTTGCATCCTCTGACCTTCTTAAACTTACTTAGTATTCTAGTAGGTTTTTGGAGGTTTAATAATATTTTTTACATGCAAAATCATGTCATCTACAAATAAGACAATTTTTGTTCTTCCTTTCCAGTTGGTATGCCTTTATTTTTGTCCTACTGCGTTGGCTAGAACTTCCAGTAAAATATTGAATAGAAGTGGAGAGAGCAGGCATTCTTAGCTTGGTTTCAATCCTATGGGAAAGCATTCAGTGTGACTTTACTTATGGGCCTCTTGTGGATGTCCTTTATCAGGTTGAGGAAGTTCCCTTATATTTCTAGTTTTTAAGAGATTTAATCACGAATGGGTGTTGGTTTTTGTCTAATGTCTTTTCTGTGTCTATTGACATGATCACATGGTCTTTTCCCTTTATTAATATGATGTACTGCAAATGATTCTTGACTGGGGATGATTTTGCTCCCTGGGGAACAAAGGGTATTGGCTGAAGACATTTTTGATTGTCAGATAGGGGGTGGGGGAGAGGATGTTACTGGCATCTGGTGGATAGAAGCTAAGGATTCTGCTATGTAGCCTACAACGTACAACAAAGAATTATCTAGCCCCAAATGCCAATAGTCTGACGTTGAGAAACTGGTATAGAACATTGACTTCTGGATGTTAAAGCAAACTTGCACTTCTGGGATAACACAACTAGGTTATGTTGTGCAATCCTTTCTGGATATTGCTGGATTTACTAATATTTTGTTATGGATATTTGCATGATATATGGCCATGTTATAGAATATATTTTAAAATAATATATGTATTATAGAATGATCTATAAATTTCGATTAGGTAAAGGTGGTTGATAATGTTTAAGTCTTCTATATTTTTACCCATTTTTGGTTTCCATGTTCTATCAGCTATTAATAGATGGGTTTTGAATCATTGACTTTAGTGGCAGATGTGCCTGTTTCTTCTTGTAGTTCTATTGGGGTTTATTGTTGGTAGGTGACCGTCTTTATCTTCAATAGTATTCTTTGCTTTGAAATCTTTGTCTGACATTAATATAGTCACTCCAATTTTCTTTTGTTAAGATATTTATCCATTGTATTTCGATTGCTTTGTGACAAGTATTACCCCAAGATTTAGCAGCTCAAAACAACACTCATTAATGCACAGTCTCTGTGGTGTTAAGAAACTCGGGCACAGCCTAGCTGAGTTCTCTGCTACACGGTCTCTCAGAGGCTGCAGTCAATGCATGGCAGGGCTCTGCAGTCATCTTGAGGCCCAGCTGGGGAGAGATCCCTTTCCAAGCACAGGGCTGTGGGTAGGATTCAGTTCCTGACAGGTTGTCATTCTGAGGGTCTGAATTCTTTGCTGGCTGTTGGCAGTGGGGTGGCCTCAGATCTTTGCCACATGGGCCTAAGGTGGAGTTTCCTTCAACAAAGCATGCAGAGAAGGCAATACAGTCTAGTGAGACAGAAGTCACATTCTTTTCACCTAACCACAAAGTGACATCACATCACCTTTGCTGTATTCTATTGGCCAGAAGCAAGTCACTTAATCCCACCCCCACACAACAGCACGAATACCAGGGAGCAGGAGTCCTTGGGGGCTGCTCAGTGTCTCTGCCTCTAGTATGAGGTTGTTAGGGGATCCTTCTGAGAATGTCACCATTTCCTGCTCCTTTGCCTTCATGGAGTTGAGAGGTTCTTTTTCTGTAAGGTTTTGTCATAAATCTGTCTCCATCTGCTGGTGGCACCTACCTTGGCTTTCCAGCACTAGGAATTTTTTTTTTTCAATTTAATCATTTCACTTAAGATTTTGTGAGGGAAGAAAATCAAACTGAGACTCAGAGATGAAGTAACTTTTCAGTGGAGTTGGGAAAGCCTGCATCGTAGAGGGAGAACTCTCGTGTTTATACAGGCCAGTGACAAGACCCTCAATGACTGTTTTCACTCTCCTTTGGAAAGGACACAAAACGTGAGCAAAAATAGTCTTGGGAATAAAGGCCTCTTGAAACCAAATCCTGAAAGCAATTTATGAAAGCTGTTCTGGGCAATAGCTAGAGATTCCTCGACATCTTGTGGTATTACTCATGATCTTCTTAGTTATCAGCAATTGCATCTTACGTGTTTAAATAAGATTAAACCATATAGAATAAAAATCTAACCTTTCTTAAAATAATCCAGAGAAAAATATTACGTAAAGCATTTTGGGAGATTAATCTTTATGCCATTACATTGTGAATGTAATGCTAGAATGCTCCTAGATGTCTGCACTTGGCATTCCCAGCATCTTTTCTTAGAGACTCTGCTCACCAAAATGCTAGCTTTAGGATTCTATAAATTCTCATGTGGTAAACTCATTCCCTTATTAATAGACAATAGTCTACTTGAATCTGGTAATGACTTATTTGCAAACATGTTGATCCAACACTAATTTCTGGTCTCACTGTTTCTCCCTTAAGTGTATAGGATTTCTGAGAGTAGAAAAAGGGCAGATAAGGCCACACGCTGTTTAGGCACCAACTTACGCATCTAGGGGCATTCCTTTTAATGTTCTACTCCCAAACTCCATTGCTACTAAAATTTATTGCTACACAACATTCCTTCACTAAGGCAGTTAAAGTTTTGTTAAAGATTTAAGTTGGGAGGAGTTACATGTGATCTATTTGTTTCTAAGAAAAGTGATTTGTATACTCTCATAAAGGCTGTCAGAAAATGAGGTAGTTTCTTAGATGTTTTATACTATAGCATGGTTCCTCAAACTTGATTCTCGGACTCTTTCGGTATTCACTTACTCTGCTATCTTATGTGATGTATTTATAATGAATGTCTAAGCTAAAAAATGAATACACATTTCAATTTTCCTTGTGTTTCCTATAATCAGAATGTATTCAGCATTTGTTCTGGGGAAGCACAAAGAGAAGGACAGATCCTGCTTTGGATTATTCTTTTTGAGGAGACCCTGACACTCCAGTGTTATGTTATCAGCATTTATTAATATTTCTGGGTAATAAATATTCTTCTGGCAGGAAAAAACATGAAAATAACATATCTAGTAACTAAACTTGGTACTTTAACCAGAGTACTTGCAACATTCTTTTTATCTGTGAAAATCCTGTTACATCTTTTTGCTTGTTTCCTATCTCTTCCTAAAAAGAATGTAGACCTATATTGACAGAATCTTATATTTTTCATCTTTTTTTTACCTTATACTCACCTATTTGTAAGATTTTAAGGAAAAGTTTTGATAACTTACCTCCATCCATATTACCCTGGAACTACATCATATAGAAAAAATATTTTTCATTAATATTACCAGATGAATCAACAGTTTTATTTTTAGTTATATAATGGGAAAAAATAATACTTGGGTGTAGATTTCTTTTAAAAAAATGATAACCTTGAAATTAATGAAATGGTCGTTAAAAGACTTCTAGGTTCTACTTTTTTATAAAAATCAGTATTTAGAGTTTCACAGTGAAGAGGTCCTAAATTCCTCATACAACATGAGATTATATAAAAATAGAAGACATAGACATCTTTAACTCTTTAATCCTTTGATTAAGCAGCAAGCATATCACTCTTCCAGGCCAAACACTGCTTAAACAAAAAAGAAAAATAATGACGTGCATAATATTTACAAAATATGCAAAGCACACGATAAAGACATCTCACTATATACATGTGTCATATTACTAATGAAGCTAAGATTTTTCTACTGTGTGCTCTAGTGTACATAAATCAAATTACAGCACATCCCTCAGATACAGCACCTTGGCCCATAGTTGGGATAGAACAGATTTTAAATGAATCGTAATATACTTAACAGCTGGACAGATGCTGGTGCTGACCAACCTGACTGGCAGACCCCACCATACTGCATACTGAAGGTCTACTGACAAGAGACAAGACAATAAAAGCTGTTGAGTATGCACATATGCAAGATAATCTAAGTACTTTAAAAAATGCTTTAGATATTTTCTATTAAGATATGTAACTATCTCCCGTGGCTTTAAACTAAAAAAATGGGTATAAATTCTTGAATATTAAGAACATTTTAAATCAGATTTGACCATTACAACCCAGGGACAGGAACCATTTAAGATGATCCAATGAAAAAGAAAGGGCACATCCTGGGAAGAGTTTATACCAGAACTTAAGGTCTTTATGGAAAGAAGTGGTCTAAACTTCAAAATTAAAACTAACCAATGGATATAAGTCTATAGCTCTTTTAAAAGGCTTTAGAGCCAATGGTATGGACTATTTTTCCAATATTTGGGAATGTATGACTTCTCAAAACATAAATTAGGGCCTTAGATGTTAAACATTTCATGAAGTAGTTCTAAATATGAGGATATAAATGTGCAAACATTTAGCCTTAAGTTCCACTAGAATAGCAATCTATGCCATCTGTCCCATTGCACAAGTCATGATTCCAATATGAAATCACTGTATCAAAAATATTAGTAACACATTGTTGAAATACTATCACTTGTAAAATATTCTTTGTAGGTACTTAATGATTATGTGTTGAATTAAGAAGTCTTGAAATGTTTTTTTATAAAAGTCTTAGTATTTTAACAGCACAACTGTGACAATATACTGATACATCTTTAGATAACACAGAACAAACCCTTAAATTTATTTTATGAAATGATGTTGATCATTTAACCCTAAACCAAACCAACGAGCACAGGTTGGCTGCAAGGAATACACAAATGTATCCAAATAGTACAATAGAGATTTATCAAGAAAACTTCCTTTATATTAAATGCAGACCATATAATGAGGGCAATTTTCAGAACCTAAACCCAAAAAAAGGTATTGTAAATAAATGCTTCCATAGCCACTATCTCCACATAACTGACAAAAGATAGTTCTCTTCTAAAGTCCCCAGATGTAGGCAACTACTAGTTAAAAGCAGACAGCATTTAGAAACTTAAAAAAAAATCAAAATTAACTCCATTTTCAAGGAACTTAAAGACATACTACTTTAGTAACTTAATAGTCCTTATTTGAATGTAAAATTATTATTCTGATCCTCTTATTACTGAGACAGGCCAATGACCTTTAAACAAGGACCCTAAACTGTATGTTAAAGGTTAGTAGGTTCAGTACATTCTTTGTGGTTTCATATAATTGCTTTGCAATTGATTAAATTGCTTTCTTTTAAAGGAATATATTAAAATTCCTTTAGGAAAAAAAGCAAGATTTTTTAAAACAAGGGATATGTAGCTCTCTTTTCTTAAATATGCATCAAATGAACATCTGTCAAAATCTGAAATGCAGGCTATTTATTCTTGCACTCCTAACATAGGAAAATGTTGTTAAAAATTAAATTAAGGAAAAAAGAAAAAATTCAAACACCCTTAAGAAACTTAAGGAGTTTTCACAATTCGTAAGTCAATATTCCTGTAAAGAGCCTTGACTATGAAGAGGCAGAAATATAAAGAATCTCAATAAAATAAATATGGTAAAAACAAATCAGAAAACCTTGGTATATAGGATATTTTATCTTTTTTTTTTCCTTTTATGAGATCATGTTGCTGAATGTATATGCTGTAGAAAGGAGGCTAACTGTAGGTTTTTTGTTGTATAACATTTCAGTTGCGTGAACTAAAAAGTTTCTCAGACATCCACTTATGCTAGCCCGATGCCACAGAACTAGTTCGCAGCCTCTGTATCTAGGAAGGATTACTGATTATTCTTTCCTCTTTTGCAACAGTCAGATGAGCATTGGTATAATGATGGGGTGAAGGGTTACTGCAGCTCTGTCCAATATAATTTTAGTGCAGTGAGGACTGTGAATCTGTCTGAATTCCGATAAGTGATGGTGGCTGTTGACCACCAACCGTGGACAACACTGGTCTTGGGTTTAGACGGGGTGGCATAGAATTAGCAGGGCGAATGAGAGGTGGTGGAGGCTGATTTAAAGTTGGCCGGGGCTGGATGAACCGAGCCTGCTGCTGGAGTGGAGGAGGCTGCCGGTGAAGAGCGGGGGCAGCAGGCAGTGTTGGACGAAGAAGTGGTGGAGGCTGGTTCAGAGTGGCAATGGGGGCTGTTGGTGTTGGAGTGGATGATGGGGCAGGAGGTGATGGACCCAGAGTCCGAGGAGCCTGTGGGGTCTGTGCCTAGAGGTGAGGAAACAAAAATACACGTATGAGATGACAGTTCCTAGTGAACGTAATACAATATAGTTTGGGCTGTCACAGGAAAAACAAACAAATCAAAACAAAACAAAAACGTAACACCAGTGTTTTTGGAAGCAGAAGCTTCTTTTATTTTAAACAAAACAAAAAACCAAAAACCGAAAAAGCAACGAAGCTACCAAACAGGCATCTTTATTAGTAAACAGCTTAACACTGGAAATAAAAATAAGACTATGAAAGAACAATACACTCTCCATTCTTCTAGGATCAGAACTTAGCATGTCATTATGACTTAAGAGTCACGAGAGATGCACCACTGAGTAAGTGTATTGTCAACCTTTCATGCTCATATACGAGTCCTCTGACAAATTAACCTTACAGAACACCACGAAATGATGATTCCTCAACTCATAGCAGCTCGAATCCCATACACAAACACACCTCCTCTTCTTCATCAGTGCTCTTCCCTGATGGCACATTAGAAGCACTTTTTGTCTCCTCCCCTAAAGTAGAAGCATCACCATTAGAAGCCTGGGTTCCTTGTTCTGCTTCCCACTCCTGCAATACCTCCTCTAAGTTAAACCGACGCCTGTAGTTTACAAAGAAGTTCTTCACTTGGCCAACAGTCTTGTTGCCAATTACATCTGCAATAGCTTGAAAATCTTTACCATATTTGCGGACACCTGGAAGGCAAAGTAAATAATACACCTGTGAAGGATCAATAAGGAGAGCTGTGTGTACTATACATCATGCACACACAAAAGATACCAGCAATGAAAATCCTTTCTGACAAAACTCTGCTCATTTCTCAATTCTGAGATAGAGGTTAAGATATCAGGGTCACAGATGAAAACTATCAATTATGTTATTTCATCGAGCCAGCCACTTGCCTTCAACTGAACAATCAGAAACTTACCATTTTTTACATACTCAGTTATTTTCTCCAATCCTCTCTTGAACTCTCAAATACAGTCCATTTATTGTAAAGCATTGAATTCTTTGTTCCATCCTCAATTCCACATTCATTTATTTCCCTAGTAGCCAGTCACCTAAATTTGAGCAACACCGTTTGTAAACAAAGCTGGATGGGAATGAGCCATCTCTTTTATCCCCTCAATGGACTGAGTGAGTAGTCTTAGGGTTCCCCCATTAAGAAAAGCAGTATAATTCTGGTCTTAATACCAACTTCCACATGATTACTTGCCTATCTTACCAGGTACCAACAAACAGAAATGAGGTAAGAATTTAAACATAAAAAGCAGGAGAATCATCACAATCTGATGGACAAAAAAAGGGGAAATTATTTTTCAGAGTTAGTTGGATTTTTAACTCATCTAGAAGCTCGAAAGGCTGTGTATGTAGGATTCCTAGCTATGCTTTATAGCCTAAAGAATATGGTTATAGCAGTGCCTGTTTGTAGAGTACTTTTCCTTATCATCACTACCTTTAATTCAGGGATTAACTGTTCATTAAAGAAATTTTATTATAATGAAGGATAGTATTTGACTTATGATTTGAGAGTCAACAGAATTTAAATTGACTTTATATAATCAGATGTATAATTATTGGCTCTTAGGGGAATTCTAAATGACCTTAACTGGCTTCTTCTAGAAAGAGCTGCATTTAGCTCAAAATACGAAAGTTGTCAAATTTTTAATTTTATAATTTGGTAACTGCTTTTAAAAATATCAGAAAACAGCAACTCTTTTAATTACAGAGATGAGACAGAAAAAAAAATACTGATACTTAAGATATTAAAGTCTGTAAATTAACCTAAGCAGCCAGAAACATGGGGCTTTAAATAAACTCAACATATATATAATCACAGTGGGAGAATAATATAATGATATGTTGATGCCCCAGCAGAAATGCTAGATATATTCTTACTAATACCTATTGGTGTGATATACTCAATTATGTTAAAGCACCATCATGATATAGCATAATCTCTGTTCTAAAATTCTGCCTTTATTTATATTGACTTGGGAATAGGTATCTCTTGCTACATTCAAGGGAATATAGGCTTGGCTCCATGGGAGAATTCCTGCATCTTACAGCATTTTGGGCAGGAGGTCTGATATTATTAAGCTATAACCATATTCCATTTTTTATACAGAGTTTGGGTTTGTAAACTATGCTCATTTGCTCTGTTCTCAGAGGGAAAGACATATGTAAAACAATAAAGTAATAATTATTTACAGTATTTTAGCAACATAAATGTATTTATATTCTCTTTAAATCTATGAGCTGATTTTCAGTTTGAATTTCATAACTGCCTATAAATTCTAATGGTCACTAGATTTCACTGAGGGTCTATTTGGCAATAAAAATCCAAAGTTATTTCATATTAGGAATTATTGCTATATATTCAAATACTTTTCTACTACTTATATTTTGGGAAATAGCAACTCATTTGAGGATTGCTGCACTGAAATATAACTACTAATCAGAAATCAGACACAGTGTTCTATCAGTGCACTAATTTTCGTAAGAGATACTTAATTTACATTCTAGAAATGACCAAACCTACTGAATACATGAGTTTAGAAATGAAAACCTTAAATCAATCTAGGATTAGATCTGTATTCCTAGCAAGAAGTCATATTAAGACTAACTCTGACTCCAAGTCTGAAGATATTACAACCCTCAAAACACCTATTTATTTATTTGCAAAAGTTTCCAAAACCTACCAGCTATCCCCATGTCTTACTCCATTATATAATCCTTATCATCACTACCTTTAATTCAGGGATTAACTGTTCATTAAAGAAATTTTATTATAATGAAGGATAGTATTTGACTTATGATTTGAGAGTCAACAGAATTTAAATTGACTTTATATAATCAGATGTATAATTATTGGCTCTTAGGGGAATTCTAAATGACCTTAACTGGCTTCTTCTAGAAAGAGCTGCATTTAGCTCAAAATACGAAAGTTGTCAAATTTTTAATTTTATAATTTGGTAACTGCTTTTAAAAATATCAGAAAACAGCAACTCTTTTAATTACAGAGATGAGACAGAAAAAAAAATACTGATACTTAAGATATTAAAGTCTGTAAATTAACCTAAGCAGCCAGAAACATGGGGCTTTAAATAAACTCAACATATATATAATCACAGTGGGAGAATAATATAATGATATGTTGATGCCCCAGCAGAAATGCTAGATATATTCTTACTAATACCTATTGGTGTGATATACTCAATTATGTTAAAGCACCATCATGATATAGCATAATCTCTGTTCTAAAATTCTGCCTTTATTTATATTGACTTGGGAATAGGTATCTCTTGCTACATTCAAGGGAATATAGGCTTGGCTCCATGGGAGAATTCCTGCATCTTACAGCATTTTGGGCAGGAGGTCTGATATTATTAAGCTATAACCATATTCCATTTTTTATACAGAGTTTGGGTTTGTAAACTATGCTCATTTGCTCTGTTCTCAGAGGGAAAGACATATGTAAAACAATAAAGTAATAATTATTTACAGTATTTTAGCAACATAAATGTATTTATATTCTCTTTAAATCTATGAGCTGATTTTCAGTTTGAATTTCATAACTGCCTATAAATTCTAATGGTCACTAGATTTCACTGAGGGTCTATTTGGCAATAAAAATCCAAAGTTATTTCATATTAGGAATTATTGCTATATATTCAAATACTTTTCTACTACTTATATTTTGGGAAATAGCAACTCATTTGAGGATTGCTGCACTGAAATATAACTACTAATCAGAAATCAGACACAGTGTTCTATCAGTGCACTAATTTTCGTAAGAGATACTTAATTTACATTCTAGAAATGACCAAACCTACTGAATACATGAGTTTAGAAATGAAAACCTTAAATCAATCTAGGATTAGATCTGTATTCCTAGCAAGAAGTCATATTAAGACTAACTCTGACTCCAAGTCTGAAGATATTACAACCCTCAAAACACCTATTTATTTATTTGCAAAAGTTTCCAAAACCTACCAGCTATCCCCATGTCTTACTCCATTATATAATTGGCCCCTCTTCTTCTGACTCTGCTCTTTTTAATCTTTCATTTTATTTCCTCTTGTTCAATGGACTTTACCTTGTCATTAATATTGTTATATTTCCAGAAGTACAGGCCCCAGAACCAAAATCAGTTACCATAAGGAGCTTTAGTTTTCCCAAATACTTAGGATATCAAGGGTTTTTTCCAAGTAACCTAGGTTCTGAGTCACCAAGGTGTGTTTATTACTAATTCATGTATGCCAGTCTTGCATTAACTGCTCTGCAAAATCTTAAGGCTCAGATCACACTGCAGACTTCCATAGTCTGGCTGAGTATCCCAGTCATGTCCTGAAAACTAGAGGAGCAGAACAGATATCAATGTCCTCAGCCTGCAGAACGGCCAAGCAGGGTCTGGAAGAGCGCGTGCTCCCTGGCAGTTTCCTTGGACAACAGCAGCCTCATCTGTTTGCTCCCATGTGTTGTGACAAACTTCACAATTTTCTCTGTGTGCCACAATGTTGAAAAAGGGTGGGAAGTACTGTTCTGTTGAATGCAAATCAGAACCAGCATTATCTACAATGCTGAATACACAGGAAGTGCTCAGGAATACAGCTGATTTTTTTTCCCCAAACCCCCAAAACCACATACCGCTAACTTCTTTACCACCTTCATATTCCCAATGATGCTGCTCAACAGCACATTCTGGTTAGAAGGTGGAATTCTTAAGCTCTAAACTGTGGCTAATACGGGGCAAACTGTAGGGAACCATCAATGGAAGATTTAAGGGGACTGCTCCTTCAGAGCATCCCCAGCTAGGCTTTTGGAGGACATGCAGAGCAACTAACTTTAACAACATATGACATCAGAGATGCTCTAGTTCCAGTTTGTACCTGGAGGAAGGGTGGTTAATTCTTTTTCCACAGTTTATAATAAACAAGGCCATATGACTGCTTTATCAGCAAGGGACTTAAATACAATGATTAAGTCTCTCTCTTCCTGAATATGGTTCATATGAAACATGGTTTTAAATTAAATTTCCCATCTTCAGGGCAAGAGGTCAGTTTTCAAAGATTAGTGGAACAAAACTTTAGAGAACTCTAGAACGGTGAAGTATAAATTCCCCAGGAAGATGAAAAAAATTGTTTTTCAGTCAAATTTCTAGATTTCATTTGAAAGTTATAATGAAACAACTTGGTTTCCTATGCTGGTAGATGATACCATATAATCTTTAACATTTACTTTTGAAGTTTTTATTTGGGAATTAACATAAAAATGTAACAGGATATTGTGTTATTGTTACATTTTATGAGAGCCCACACTTTCCAATCAATATTCTATATTACCCAACAAAAAAGCATACATTCATATTTTTTGAGCTTTGGCTAGTAAGAGTAACTTCACAAATATTTGTAATATGGTGTTTCCCAACTCTGGACATCAGATTATAGACTTTTTTTTCTTAGATAAAAGGGATATTGTAAATCTGCTTTTGGTATGTTTAAAAAGTTATTTTTAAAATCTGATTTTGGACTACCCTCCCCTGCCACCCGCTGAAAAAAAGCCAAAACATCACAGTGGCAAGCTGCCTATAGGCAGTGAAATTTGGGGGATTTTTTTCCTGCTTGCTATAGAAAAATTTCTTAAAGTGTGCATATACTTAGTATAATCGGAAAATCTATTTTTGAAATAAGAACAAAGTGACATCTAAAAACTCCAGGGATGTCATTACTTTCTATCAATGAGAGATTAATTTTAAACTCAAACCATCTGGGAACACGCATTTCTTTCTACCTTGTGTAAATTTCTTAAAGAATTCATATTAAAGAAGGTAAAAATGATGTCACTTTGTTGTAAGTTAAATTCCGTAACAAAAACGTCGGGAATTTTGAGTCATTAGTCATTTGAAGTTAGGGCATCAGAGGGCTGACAAGTATAATTTTGGGCCTCCATTCTTATGATATTTGTTATAGAAGAAGAAACTCTCTAAAGCAAATGAGTTCCCTTTAGGTGGAATGGTATGAATTGCCTATCTCTAATTCCTTTTGATCATTCATGTACGGGGTTCCCTATGTCTTAATCAACTGCCAAATCTCTTTTTCCCTACTTTAGGAGCCATTCTAGCTTTTTAAAAAAGTAAGAGATAAAATTAGAAGACAGTTTCTAGACTTGCAACTTTCATTTCTCCTAAAAACGAATGGAATATAATGAACTACAGGGAGAGAAGCTAACATTTAACTGTAAGCATAACCCACTTGAACATAGTTCTATCCTTTCTTCTCTTCTATGAGAAGGCAGGCAATATGAAAAACAGCAAAACTAAAAATTAAAGCTGACATCTTGATACAACTGGAAACAATTTTTTGTTGTTTATCCTAAAATAACACGAATATTTTAGTTGGGGAACATATTATTTTTTCATACTAACGACTACAAAATGAATACATTTAAGAGGAGAACTAAAATAAAAATGGCAAATGTTGTATACCATGCCTCTGTCTCTATACACTTTGAAGAGTAAATGTTTTGCACTATCATTTAAATGTATTGTTTGAAAACAGCTAATAATGTTCTATCTTACATGAAAAAAATACATATAGAATCTAATTCCTTTCATAATTCTTGCTAAATAATAATGTTTATCATATGAATATAAAGATTGATTTTAGGATAATTTCTAGAAGCACTGTAGTTGAGAAAAAAGTATTTATATATATGCCACAAGCTACAAATTGGGATATTTCATATTTCACCATTAACACAAATATGTGAAGACTGTAACTGGTCTCACTACTAATTTGTTTAACAGGAAACTTAGATGCTAAGGCTGGAACAGATTACAGAAACTGTAGAAATACCATTCTTAGCAAGCATTTTAGGAGGATTAAATTAGTGATATTTATAATATTCCAGCTGGGGACTTTTGAAGAATATTATTAAAGTTATAACATAGTTAGAACTAAAATAAACAAAGTGACAGATTACACAAGTATGAACAGACATTCCTATTTGGTCTGAACATGATTTTTCTCCCTTCCAAATAAGGGAGAAAGAAGGGAAAGTGGGTTTATTATTTATTTGCTTAACTATTTATCATTAAAATAATATTTATATAAATGGTTAGTATATAGTTAACAATACTAGGACTAGGTGGGAAGTAAAGTAGGAAATATATACCTAAGCCCTAGGAACTTATCTTAATAGATCTATTTGGTTTTAAAAGAGTTACTCAAAAAAGTTACCTAGTAGTAGGAGTTATAAATGTTACTATGACACTAGAGTCAATATTTCTATCTTCAAGTTACTGTAATAGTCAACTATGAGCAAGATAAAATAAAGCATTTAATAATGAGTATCAAATAAGAATATATATGTAAGATGTTTAAAATATAAAGTGCTACATAAATTAAAACATGTTAAAATCAAAACATAATTTATTATTGCTTTGTAAAGCTGAAATAGCCATGAAAATATCATATAAAGTTTTATCATAGTAAGTGTTAAAAAGAACAAGAAAACAAAAGTCACTGCCTGCTAAGATAGATACTTCTGGTTAGCAAACTATATATGTTAAAAGGAAAACTGAGATTATGTACCTTAACCACACTGAGACTCAAGTACATGTGACATTATATGATTATACTGTTTATAAGATATACTTCCGAACCTTATATAAATGTGTGGGCACATGAGGTAAAAACTGCACTTTTAAACTCTCCTTAAAATAACTATTTTGGACACAAATAGCCCTATATTGTTTTGTTTTATGTAACAACAAAAAAAATCTTCAAAACTAAAAAACCTGAAGTGAAAACAAGAATTCCACACCAAGAGTCAAAATAAACACAGACATTAACATATTAAGAAAGTGCTTTCAAAATCCTAAAATATGCATATTTCTGTAGGAACTGCTGCATTAGTGTAATTTAGTTTTTAAATGTTACTTTAAAATATGCATAAGAATACTGAATATACCTCAGGAGAGGAAATGTTTGATTATATCAATAAATACTCCATTTTGTTAATATTTATAAGCTGAGATAACGTCCACATATACAACTTAAACTATGTAAACTTTGCCATTGTTCTTCCCTTGAATACAGTTTTGCAGAATATCCAACTCAGCTATAAGAGTCAATGGACTCTACCACTTAAAGAAGTGCTGCAGACTAGTAACTAATCCTGAGAGCTCTACAGAGAAACATCAGCCCAGATTTTTCTATGCAATTCTCTTCAGAAAATCCTTTCACTGGGATAATTTCTTATACTAAAGTACAGAATTAATATACCAATCTTTAAGTAACTGAATACCAGAAACCACAGTTAAAGTCTATAGGATATTCTACAAGGGCGGGAAACACAGGCTTTAAATCAGTAATAGCAATGCCTACTCAATGGTTCTGTTCCAGCTGTAATTCATAGTTCTGAATGAATATGAAGCAGCCATTGAAACCACTAATTTTTAATAAAAAATTTTATTTGCAAGTTTTAAATTCTAAAACAGCTATTATTGAACATTATAAGCTATTTAAAGTCTGTTCTGACTTGTTCAGAAACTTAGTTCTACAGTTAGAGACGGGCTCAAGGAACATGGAACACCCCACACCCCCACAGGAGCAAGTCCTTCTATGTGTGCTATGACTGTGTTATGCTGTACAGGCCAACGAGAAGGCTGACCATCCCCCGGCGCCCTCCTGTGACTTTCTGATCACACTGGCTGGGTAATTCTTACTCTAATCCAAACTGCAGAGTCATCTATTAATCAATCTTCAATTACATTATTCCAACATCTGAATGATACTTACACAACATTTTTGAGTTCAATATATTCTCTATATTTGAATATTTGGAAAATTTTAAAAGTATACTTATATGTTTTACTGGGGCCCAACTCTTGTTAGAGTAGTTAACCTAGATAGAAAAGTTACTACAAAGAGGGCTCAGTCAAGAAGAAAAAATTATAGACCAAACTTAAAATTATACAATCAGTCCTGCAAATAGTTTATCTTGAAGGGAAAAGAAAAATCTGCAACACTGAATAAAAATATACAATTTACTCTTCCTTAAATAATTCAAACATGAGAAAATCCAAGTTTATAACGCTTCCAGTTTGCCTATGGATATTTATAATACCAAAAAATGCTCTGCCATATAATTCAACAAAGCATTCATATTTTTCTGATACATCTCTTAACTCGTTTGTAATATATATATATATATTATTTATTTATATATTATTTTTAAAGTCAGCCTTCTAAGCATTCAGTGGCACCTCTCTTAGGTTATGATACACTGAAAGTTAAGCATATCATTAATATTTTCAGTACCTGACATTTATCAAAAGAGAAATACTATTATACAGAGTGATTAGAGAAACCAGAAACTTATAACAGTTTATTTATGCTTTTTACAATGAGTTATCAATGACTAATATAGTAAGAATGACCTTAATGCACGAATACTGAAGCAGAGGCACAGAGAGACTGTATGACTCTTTCAAGCACATCATTACCATCACTTAGGTAGTGCTGAGAGCGCATTATGTGCTGTTCAGGACCCCAAATGCACACAGGCTCAGTACGTTACATCCACAAGTACAAAACAGAATTCCTGGTCACCAGCACTTTGTGGTGAACACAAGAGCTCTTTCTTGATCCATTTCTAAAGGAAGGGAAGAACTATGACAGTCACCTTTCATGACAAGTTAAATAATTATCAACAACAATAACTGCTTATCTTTAATATACCTTGCACTGCTAGAAGCTGCTCCTCTGTGGTCCAACGGGCATTAATTTTCTGATTTGACTACAAAATTAAAAAGAAGTTTCCTAATGAGGATATGAAGACAGACAGCTTTCCAAAGTGCTTACTTTTTTTTTAACTTCTCACCAAATCACAGACATGAGATTACTAAAACTCTGATTTTTGAAGATTCCATTTTTATATGGATTAAGAAATATATTTTGAGTTACCTTTTATCCACACAAAAAGATAATGAAAGGGAAATGTACAATACGAGAATGAACAACATTCACATTTAGGCTCTATTCACAGAGGTTTTAAAACTGAGAAAATCTCCTAGTCACCCATTTTCCAACTACAGTGTTCCTATCACACACTGTGTTAATTTTAGCCTAGTTTTAAACATTTCAGAGACTTTATTTTCTTTACAGAGGATCTGTGACTCTAAGATTTCTTCTCTTCAGATTTAGATCGAGCCTATCCTTACTCCACGAAAAGCAGTGTTAGATAAATGAACAGAACTGTAGATGAGGCCCAAGTCTTAGAATACTTCCTTAAAACTCTGAAGCAGAAAGTGACCGACTATAAGAACAGATTTTTCCCCATGACCTCCCACATTTCTCCCAGTATTTTTGTTTAAAAAAAAAAAACCCAAAGTTTAGAATTTTTATTATGGCAATATTACATTATTAACACTGAATCAAATTTCATTAATGTATACCACTGACTAGTAGCAAGGACCTTTGATAGTAAAATGGAGACAGAGATAAGTACACCCAGCCCACACAGGTTTGCGGCACAAACTGTCCTGATGTGGTAATACATGGACGTGTATTTGCTGGGCAAAACAGAAAGGCTTCCTTTAAGAAGGGGTGTTTAAGTCTTATCTCGCTCACAGTCTTAGCAATTAGAGCTTCTATGGTACACAGATATTCTGGGTAACAGCAACTTTCTCACCATGAGTGAAAAGGTATAGGTAATAAGCATTTAGGAGAAAGAATGAAACAAAATTTAAAAAATAACAAAATTTAAAACAAATATTAGAGAAGAAAGGAAAAAGTTAACAATCTACAACAGAAAGCACTGAATTCCAGATGATGAGGTTAAAAAGGGACAGCAAGGCAGACCAGGCAAAGGCAGTGGATAAGCCTCAAAGTCAGGACACTGACGACCAGGCAAAGGACAACAGTAAAAAGGTAAAGAGAAAGACGGGCTACAGGACATAAAGCAGCAGTAGTAAGAAAGGGTGGACCAAGGCTAAAATAGTGAAGAAAAACAAGAAGAGGAGATGACAGAAGAAAATCTAGAAATTTTAAACATGTATTTCTCAAAAAGAGAACAACAAGAACGGAGCAGGAGCTAATATTTGAGTTGATACCCAGGCGATCCGATACTTCCTGGGCTGTGGAAGGCAGAGGAGGAAGAGGTCCCAGGTACCTAAGCTGACTGGCACTGGAACCTATTTAAAACAGGTCCAAGTATTTCAGAGTAAACGGTTAAAAAATGAAGAGCTGATTTCAACTAAATCTGAAATACACATCTATTATGAAAAGTAGTTCATTTAAAAAAATACTTAATGATTTTGCCTATATGCTTTAATTTTATTTTTTGGCCTCTTTTCTGACTATATAATGAAATGTACAACATGAGCATAGAGTGGGTCATTTTTGTTTTGAAGACTTCAACAATTATCTCAAGAGCCTCTCTTAATTCTTTGTTACTCAAATTATTATTTCTTGAAATGCTTGTTGGTGAGTCATCATCCTTTTCTACAGTTGTTAATTCTGCTAGATACCCATCTGTCAAGAATTCTGCAAATGATTAATGCCAGTCTAGTATACTTTTATAGACTACATGAAGTTTTGCATCGTTTGCAGTTTAAAACTTCATTTTGGTTTGTGCTATGTTTGCACTGTATTAGCAAGAGAGTAACAGAGAAGGATGTAGATGTGATGGTGCGACAGGTAACAGCTGGAGTTCTTAGGGATAATTGGTGAGTAGAGCCTAATTATTAAGTGCTCAGTTCATTAATAAATGTTTTGTTTGGCAACTTTTGCTTTCCATACATCCCTTCGATTAACGAGCATTTATTTGGATACTGAGGATCTGTAATACTACACTGAAAGGTTGTTCTGAGGATTAAATTTAGAATATATGTAAAAAACATCTAGCATAGCTCTTAGCAAACAGAAGTTGATCAATCAATGTTTGTCAAACCTGAAAAGCATAAACTGGAGGAAAAAGTATCACTAATGAAAAGGGAACAAAAAAAATGAAGAAAAATAACATGCACTATGAAACTTAACTTTCAGTTTTACAGAAAAACAGGAGATGGAATGAACACAAATAGCTATTACTAAAATTTTAAAGTACAGAGTATACTGGGGATTCAAAGACAAAAAGAAAAAGTCATGACGACTAGAATGGGGTAAAAGGAAAGTTGGAAGGACTGGAGATTGAAATGGGTTTAGAACAGAAATTTCTGGAATTACAAAGATGAGAGGACATACCATGTACAGGAAACAGCAGGATTTGTGTTAGAAGAAGTGATAAATAAGCCTAGAAAATTGGTGATATTTAAACTGAAATAAAGTAAGGACTACTTTTAGAAGGGCAATAAACATCAAGGTTGACAAATTCCAGTAAATTCAATAAGCAGCAGTGAATGTGTCAGGCAGTAATGGAGAGAGGGATAGGATTATAGCCAGATTAAGATTTTAAATCCAGAAAATGGAGAAGGGAGGTGCTGTTAACCTAACAAGTTAAGATACGTTGATTTGGGAGCTGTGGAAAGGCAGACTAAGATACGAATTTAACTTGGGATACATTAAAAATAAGGCATGGGACAGGACATTCAGGTGGAGCTCACATTCCACTTGAGGCTAAAATAGATTCATCTATTCAAACACATTTTTTAAGGCTCTGGCAAGTATTTATGAGGAAAAACAATGGAGTCATATCTTATTCAGATGTGAAGTTCTAAAATCAGCCTGTGAATTTTTTAGAAGTTTTTTTTTTTTTTCAAAATAAATCTTGAAATGTTCTTACAAAGGCAGCCATGGAAATAGGCACACAAACTCTCAGGAAGTCCACAAAGCCAAGTAAGTATTCCTCCAGCTCTGGAGTGGACCACTAGCTTATCAGTTACATCCCAGAGGAAGCCTTTGGCCCAAACTCAGGGTAGTACTGAATGAGAAATATAAATACGTTACTTTAAATACTAGAATCTCACTCAGTTGAAGGGGATGCTCCCAAAGGAGACGTGCGGAAGCTGAAGTGGACTACCGGAATAGTGGATTCACAGCTCCCAGCAACTCACTGCTCACTCTGGGGCACACGCTCAGTAAACAGAGTTCAGGCATAACTGCCGGCACCACTGCCCTTGCTACTAGTCAACACACTCTGTTTTATTTGGCTGAATATGGCTGAGTTTGTGTCATTTAAATATATGATGTGACGTTAATATAGGAAGTGATGAGTCTGTATATTTCCAAAGAGAAGAGAGAGAAATTAATCCTGAAAATAAAAACTTGGAGAATGTCTATATTTCTCTAAGAATGGAAAATTACAGTTGAGAGGGGAACATAATAGTTTAAAAGAGATGACTCTCAAATGTTAAAGGAAGAAAGACAGGTCGTCATCTATGTCAAGAATCCAGAAAAAAGCAAGGGAAATGAGTTAAAACTGTGGAATTTGGTCATTAGCACTAATTTTAACCTTTAAGAAGAGACTTCAGTGGGAAGATGCAGGGAGCGGGGTAGCTGAAACTGTACGGAATGAAATAGTCTATGTGAGACACAATGGAAGCGATGGGAGAAGGGACAGACTAAAGGAGAAGCAGGGCCAAATTGTTTAAATATGTGGCCTTCCTTTAAGTTACTAATTTTTATATTCTCTTTTAAATCCAAGAAACTTTGGTAGGAATTTAACTTAAGGAAATGACAAGTCGAATATATCTAGGAACTTAAAACTGTATGGCAGTTGTAGTTAGTTTGGTGGTACCACTGAGAACATTCTTCTACAGCAAATCCCCATCTGAAATACTGTTGTTTTAAAAATAATAAAATATTAATATAAAACAATTCTATATGTAGTAGTAGCAGTAATAATAAAAGGCTTCAAAGAGCCTTCTAGAACAGTCTATGACATCATTAGTGAATTCAGCATCTTTACTTCATCCTTTCCCTGCTAAATTGATTTGTTTCACATACTTCCATTTTTGTCAGTAGTAGATTCATATAATCTCTGACTTGGAAGAATTAGAAAAGGTCACCAGCTAAACCTTCTACCCAATGGTGAAAATTCCATTCAGCATCCAGAATGAGAGGATGTCACCCACATATGTATGAAAACATCCAGAGATGGGGAAATTTCTAGCTTCAAAAAGCACTATGTTTTTAGTTTCTTCTTTTCTGGATTCATTAACCTCCTTGTCCCCACCTACCTACCTCTTCCCAAAACAAATCAGAACATAACCAAACATGCCACCACTACCCCAACACTCTCATATACTTTCAAGGACACATTACTTTCTACTTTGCAATGTTCTTTAGGTTTATCACTTGCTGGTCTTTCCTATAACAAAATGATACCCAGCCTTCCCCAGTATTGAAGAAACTACAGGGTCTCTTCATCTGATTTAAGAGACACACTTCTCTTCCTAGTAGTTTTCACACACTTTTGTACTCTGACCCGTGCCCACTGATGTGCATCACAAAGAAGTCTTTGTCCAACTCAACCTTGTTAATAGCATGTCTGCATCCAAGTTTGCCTTAGTAAGGAAACAATATGCTTAAGGAAAAATTTCCACACTTCCCCTGAATTCTCAACAGTAATGAGCACAATAATGAACATATAGCAAGTGCTTAAGGGAGCACCTGTTGGCTGGTTTTTTAAAGTGCTTTTATTTTTCCCCACTGGATTTATATTTTGAATGTATTGTTCAACACCACATCATGGTTCACATCATTCCTCTGCCTGCCCTTCCGTATATACAAAAATCCTACTCATCCTTCAAACCTCAGCTAAAACATACCCCTCAGGGAAGCTTTCCCTGAAAGTGCTCGCCAGAATGAATAATGACCATGTGTTTTCCGTAGCTCTTTACATATAAATCTATCATCCAAGTTTACTCAGTTTGTCTTCTAACACCTAGACTAAGTTGTTTTTTAAAAGTAGATGAAAAAATCCATTTCTTCCTAATTTTTGTGTGTTTCCTCTTCCCCCACAATGCTTAGCACAGTGCTTTACATGACACAGGTGATCAACAAATACTTATGGAAGTGAATGGACTTTCTTCACTATTTTTTTCCCAAAATGAAAATAACTATAATGAAATGAATAAGTAAAGCATCTCTGTAACTGTTTACTTCCAGTTGAGTTATATCATTCAGTAGTTTTATCAGTTAGTAGCCTGTTGTTCCAAGGGTTAATACAATTCTTTTATTAGATATTAGGTAGAAATTTAAGTTAGGTATTACCTAAATATTTACATGATTTTTCAAGGTCTTTACTATGACAGTTAATGTAATATTTTCAATTATATCAATTCAGGTTTCTCTCCCTTGCAAAGCAATAGGAATAATATAATAATTATAAATATATTCTGGGAACTTTTTAGATAATAAAATATGTATACATTTTCCAAGTCATAGGAGTTCAATAAATCAATCTCAAAGTAATATTCAGACTTCAATGTATGGATGGTATGCTATTAAGATTTTGGTTGTTTCACTTTGTGAGCATTATTTTTTACAACAAATCAAAAGATGTAATAATTGTTTGATAACTTCTAACCCCAAAATTGCATTTAAATGTGAGACTCTATTGTATAATTTTGCCATGAAATGAAAATTTCCAAAAGAAAGAGGCCGCATGGTATGAACCTAGGACTCCACTCAGTTCTAAGAATCTGCATTAGAGCCAGAGTTTCCCTATTAATAAAATACATGACCTTAATCAAGTCAGTTAATCTTCCTGAGGCTCAGTTTCCTCATGCAAAGTAAAAGTATTTGTTTCATCTACTTCTTTGGGTTTAGGGGGACATCAGTGAGGCAGCATATAGGAAATATGCAAAATGCATATCCTATATGGGACATAGGAGAGTGATAAAGGTTACTGCACTTTCAGGTTGCACTTTCTACAATGTTCATGAGTGAGACTATCCTACAATTTTTCTGAAAATTTTGAGATTAGAATGATCATTTCCCTGAATATTCAGTAGACTTGACCTGTAAAACAGTCTGGGCCTGGTATTTTCTGAGAAAAATGTTAATTGTTCCTTTATTTTATTTAATGATTTGAAGTTTTTCAGATTTTCTTTCTCTTTAAGACAATCTTGGTGAGACCTACTTTCCTAGGAATTTCTAAGTTTTGTTTAAATTTTCAAACTCACTGGAATAAACTTTTTTATGATAATCTCATAATGTTTTCAATACCTGCTACATTTTTAATTTTAATGTTTAAATTATGGAATTACAGGCATTTTAAGCCTTTTGCTTTTATACATTTAATGCATAATTAAATTTCAATACAAAATTTAAAAAATTTTGTTGCAATAATAAAACATAAAGTAAAGTAGCATTACTTATATTACATTGTCTTTAAGTAAATAAATGTCACTAGAATGTTTGACAGTTTACCTGTGGGACTGGAATGAGATTATTAGTCTATGTATATTTTATTCTTTTCCATTACCTAACCTTCTTGAAAGAGAGTATTCAAAACAAACAAACAAACAAACCCCATGTTTTTCATAATGAGCCTTTCTGAAAGACTCTAAGGAGTGAGATGGCATATGGTGCACCAGTTCTGAAGCACTACTATTCTGCCTACCCCAGCCTCTCACACGTATTTCATTTATAAATATTTCAGTCAACCTGTGATTTGAGGGGGAAGATCATTGCATTTGGACCAAATAAAATCATTTGATTACATACTTAGAAAGGCAAGTCCAGGATAAGAGGAAGCATAACATAATTAAGAGTTTTTTTACCAAGAGAAGAAAGAGAAAAGATTTTATGATAGAAGCTTCTGTAAAAAGACTTGATTGGAATTTATAGGCATTTAAGTACTCCTGTAATTATCACAAATATCAAAAACATATTAGGTTTTAGCTGAAAAACAAATAAACTTGTGAAAATGGTCAACCTGTATCTTGTTTTTAGATTTCATATTTTCAGGGATATTAGTACAAGAAATGTTAAGTCCACATACTGAAGTCCTAATTAGAATTCTGAACCAAAAGACACATTTCTTAAATTAAAATAAAAATTTCTTAAAATTATAAAAATTAGTTCCTATTCTTGGGATCTTTTTCTTCTGTGTTACCAATTCACACAGGTAAGAAAGAGCTTTGAGCAAACACTGCTATAATCCCAGAAATGTACTGGCTTGCTCATCAATGACCTTCTGGTTCCACATGCACTGGACCTACTCATATAGCTATTTTTCCTATAATTTCATTTAATATGAATTACTAAGGGTGGGAAAGAAATGATTTCACTTAAAATCATTAGCCACATCTCAAAAGACTATAAAAGTTATATAACAGAGACATAACAAAATCATCCATATTATGAAACCTTCAAAGTATTAACAATACATGTGACCAAAATAGTAGCTGAACACTAGATAACTCAAAAACAAGATTTCATCATAGTCACACAGGTTCTTCAATAACATACCTCAGGAGGTTTGAATTCTTCAATTCCACCTTCCATTTTCTGTTTAAGTGCACTGTTTACTTGCTTAGCATTCTGAACCTTCAACAAAATAACCCAAAATATAAATCAGATCAGTATTTAGGTGAGTTTATGAGTATTCAATAATTGAAGAGAATATATACCAAAATCCTCTTAAATTTTATTTCAGGAGGGCAGACACTCCGGATATACCATTTATTCAACTGATAGTCATACCAACTTATATATATCTAATAGGTACAGTTTTACAAATCATAGTATTTGACTATCTTATAACAATGTCTTTTATAACCAGACAACTGGTATATATAGGAATTGAACTCCATTAATGTTTCTTATTACCATATAATGTTTTGATCAAATAACAATAAGGGTAGATAATATTTATTATGTCTTTGTTATGTTCAACATCACTACTCGTGCTTCATATATAATAAATCACTTAATTCTCACAACTACTTTGTGAAGTAACTACAATCAGTTTGCTATAACCTGACAAATGCATTCATAAAAGTCACTACGCAATGCAAAATCACACCATAAATAACACAAATTTATTGGGGAAAGGAGCTTGGGACACAAGACTCAAAAACTTCATCAGTGACACATAAGAAAAGATAGAACCAATAAAAATGAGCACAGTTTTACATATTCCAAATGCTAAAGAAAGGCACAAATGCTACAATAAAGATGGTACTTCACCTTGAAAAAGACCCGAAGGTGCTTATGGAAGTGGGCATCAAAATAGCTGCAACTTGTGAGTTTCTGGGAAGGAGGGTTATTTGACATAAGATGAGAAGTTTTAACACCAGATGTGGCGTGTATGGCTCATGACACACAGTGAACTGAGGGTGCTGGTACACATTAGAAGTATGTGGGTATATACTCAGTTAGCTAGGTATAGTTTTTCACTGACAAAATCACATACATGCAAATACAAAATTTCCATTATGCTCCAATTGTTCCCTAGTATGTCAATTGTGCTGGAACAGATTCATGTTGCTAAAACAAGCGCTACAGTAAAACTGATGCTACTTCTACTGTAACCAAGTTGCAGATGAGGAAGGTAAGGCATACAAAAGTTAAGAAACTTATCAAGGCTATGGATACAGGAGGTAGAACCTGAATTTGATCAATGCCAACTTTTAAAATTACTATTCCACTGACAAAACTGTTAATCTCTATATTAAGAGTTAAGGTTTTTTTGTTTGGTCATTTTTTTTCTGGGTTCTTTTTTTTTCCAGTTTGAACAATCAAATATTTATAAAGTGATTTGCAATGTTTTTTTTCATCAGAGACCTGAAAACACAACTAAAATATATCTATCTAGGTTGGTTAAAATGTGCTTAACTGTTCAGCCATGTTAGACAGACATTACAGAGATAAAATGTCAAGTCTCAGTCTTTAAGGATTTCATAGATTAATGGGGAGATAAATAAATACAAAAGTATGATAAATGCTAAAGTACTTAACCTAGGTTTGCAGAGAGAAAGGTGAGAACGAGGAAATAGTATGTTTGTATATGTGGTAATGGGTGTGGTGGTGGGTAAAATTAGGGAAATTGTCCCAGAGGAGATGACACCTAAATTGAGTTTTAAAGGATTGACAAGTATTAAGCAGGTAGACAAGGTTGGGGGAAGGCAGTGCCTTCCAGGCAGAAGAGCATTCAGGAAGCATGGGGAAACTGTTAGGCTGTGGTCAAAGAATAAGGATTTTGCCTAAAGACTTAAAGAAACCTGAAGAATTTTTAAGCAAGGGAGCAGTATAACAATATTTGTCTTTTAGAAAAATAACTTCAGTGGTAATTAGGAGAGGTGAATGGGTTGAAAGGGATGGGAATTAAGTTGATAATCAAGGTGAGAAATACCAAGGACTTCAGTTGAGACACTAGGAATAGAGGAACGGTGGTGGTGGTGGTACAGACAAGAAAAACCTGGAAACAAAATTAAGATGTCTTCGTAAACACTTGGTGGGAAAGTGTTTACAAAGGAGGAGGAATCAAGGATGACTCTTTGATCACGAGCTTGAGTAGCTGAAAAAAGCACATTCACTGAGACAGGAAAGGTAAAAAGAGGAACAGGGTATGAAAGAATTCAGTATGGACACTGTATATGAGAGCAGTAAAATTTGTAAATACATGAGTATATACCTTTACTATGACACATATCAAATGAATAACCAAGAAAGGAGCTTAAATCTTTAACAAAGTTCCTTTATAAAAGTCAATAAAAATAGTCTATAAGTGAAACAGTAGTGTTGAGGGTAAACTACAAATACAGGTAACTAAGCACATTTTATTTCTTCATTATTTAAAAAAAATCGAGCCCCTCTAAAATACTATAGACAAAGCATTTTAGAAGTTCCCTAAAGAAGGTTTGGAAGATGGGAGTCTTACACACATTCGTGGTTCAAATAAAGGCTAAGCATTAGTCAAATACATGCTATTTATACCCGAGTCCAGTGTCACAGAAGTCAAAGGCAAGGAATTCCAAAACGAAGAAGTGATTGTCAGCGTCAAATATTACTGAGCAGTCAAGAGAGGTAAGAACCAAGAAGACGGCACTAGACCTGGTAACTTATTCCTAAATGTTCTTTGAGAGCTTTTTCAGTGGTAGAACTGGGATGGAGTCTGGGCCAGAAGCTTGGTTGGGAAGGGTCAGAGAATAAGAGGTTGTAAGAAAGCACAGGAAGCTAATATGGTCGATATTTATTCAGGAAGTTTGTTGGAGAAGAAAAGAAACATTATGAGCACTTTGGGTGAATAACCAGGGTCAAAGAAGAGAGAAATCTAAATGTTTGGGATAAAAAAAAACTACCTTGATCCCAACACTACACTGTTGAAAGGTTCTTACATTTTATGTGAAGAGGTACAATTATTAACTCTAAGGATGCACACTGTAATACCCTAATAAGGATAAGCTAAGGATGAAATCTCTAATCCCTAGAGCAATTACTTAAGAAAAAATACAAAGAGATGCATAAAATTCTAAATATGACCATGTACACCTCTTTAAAATCCTTCAGTTGTTTCATTAACTCAGGGTAAATTTCTAATTTCTGAAGATGACCTTTTTATAAATCCCTATCTACCTCTGCTGTAACCTGCTAAAGGCAAATAGAAATTAAAGAAGAGCTTTAAGATGATGATATTGACTACACCAGTATTTAAAAAAAATAACACTGACAACAATGTGTAACATGGAGCTAAAGAGAAGTGGATAGCAAGGAAAATCAACATGAAAGTTACTGTCAGATCAGAGGTGATAGGGTCTGAACAATGGTGGTAGTGAGGGGATTAAAAATGAGGGGATTGATTTAAAGGACATATAGATAAAACTCAGGACCTAGTTACCATTTGGGTTTGTGTGTGGGTTGGGACAGTGATAATGGCGAGGGATGAACAAAGATGATTCTGATGTTTCAACAGACAGGGAAAAGAAAAAAACTTAGGGGTCAGATGAGATGTCTAGCAGGTAGCTGGAACTGTACGGCCACAGAGCTTGGGAGAATGTCCGAGCTTGAGAAGCAGATTCAGAGGTCTCTGGCATACAGTAAGGTCGGTTGAGACCAGTAAAGTACAGACTTAGAAGAGTAGTTAGATGTAAGAATAAGGAAAACAACAGAAACAAAGGCAAAGAAGACTGAGAAAGACCACAGGCCCACAACAACCACTGACTGAGTGGTGTCTCTGTTCCTGGCACTATTTGAAGCACTCATCATATATTAGCTTGTTTAATTCCTCCCAATCATCATATTACTATCTGTATTTTGAGATGTGAAAACTGAAGTTAAGAGAAGTTAAACAGCTCCTGTAAGACTGCGTAGGAGGTAGACGGTGGAGCTAGGGTGAGAACCTAGGTTCACTGGCCCTCGATGCTACCTGATGACGACGGTGATACTTTACACCACCACAGCCACTAGCACTGGTGACGACGATGATGCTGAAGACAGAAGCCATTACTCACTGAGCACTCAAAATACGCCAAACACTGCCAAGTAATCTACAGCTGTCACCTCAAATCATTCCCAACAGCCTATAAGAGACACATGGTTATTATCCCCAATTTCACAGATATACAGTTAAAGCTGAGAGATTCTATTATTTCCTGAGATCATAGCACAAACTGGTAACAATGCTGGGATTCACATCTAGAACAGACAGAGGCACCTTATAATTTGCAAAACAAGGTCAATTTTAGAGAATGGAGCTTATGTAAATAGATGGCTGAGAAAATATGCAAAAAACTAATTTTACTGAGGTAAATGTGGATAAGCAAAATGTAGGGAATCATTAAAAACACGATTTTTATAAAATACCTGGCGTTTTAAAGAGATCAGCTCCATGTCCAGTTGCCTTAGGATGGTGTTGGCTGCATTGGGACTACAGGAAACAGCTACCACATCTTCCTGGGTTAAATACATGCCTTTAGGTGGACGGCACTTAGAACGCTGAGAATGATGGCGGTGCTGTAAACTCTGATACTCTCTCCTTCCAAGTCCAATCTTGCTAGTTTGAACAGGTTGTTCAGTATTACCCTAGAAGAATAAAGGTAGATGAATAGGTCATTTGGTTTTTACTCATGTAAGAATTAGAAACAGTCTATTACCAGTAGAAGTATCTGCTGTGCTAAGTACACCTAAAAAATACTTTTAACCAATTATATTATGTACAAGTCCCAACACACACACACACACAGCACTCATCAATTAGGAGAAAATAAGCATACAATATAATGTACCCTTGATTAACGATAATTCAATAAAATGGTTTCTTGCACAGATGACTATGAACAAATGAAAAATAAGTTGGATTCTGAACTATTCTTGTTTGCTTTAAGATGGGATATATTTCCCCTCAGCAATAAAAGGCAAAAAAAAAAAAGCTGTGATTTATTAAGTGCAAAATTTTTTAACAAAGTAAAAAAGGTGAATTAGTTATTATGACAAGTGGCAGATTAGGGAAGTTGATTAAAAAAGAGGTAATATTTCATTCTCACTTGAAAGTTGTTAAATGAGAATTATTCCTCTAAAGATGAAAAAGGACACAGTTATCTTAATCCTGACAACACTTCTAAACTCCAAGTCTAGTTATCTATGAATAAAATAAAATGGGAACTTGTATTTTGGAAGTGGTAAGGAAAAGTTCTAATAATAATGACTATAAACTTTCAAGTAAGATTTCATTATTATTTGCAATATTCTTAAAGTCTGACATAAAAATACAGTGTTATTCTGTGCTTCTTAGGTAGAAGTCCATTTGAAATTGTGTCCACCAGGTTAAAGGTTATTTTACTAAATAGATTTAATAATCCACTTCTTTAGAAAAGGAACTCTGAGTAAGAGTCATGAAACAATTGTATGGTGCAGCATAATCCACTTCACTGCTTAAGACCCAAGCCAAAGCAACACACGGCAATTGGATGTTAAGACGAATTCATCCCAGTGCTGCACTCCTAAAAGTGGTGGATCAAGTATTCTTTTTTTAAATCTTTTAAAATTCATTTCTGAGTCAGTAGGGAAGTAAGGAAATTGCTGAGACCAGAAATGATTAGAAAGTAGGTATCTAGAGGAATACACAAGCCTGCAGGAGCTGGCATTTGCCTAAAGCCCAGGCTTCAATGGACACCAGGTGCAGGGCATAGGAGACAAAGCCAAAACTCTAGGAGGGAACTCCATCACGGTACAAAGTAGAAAAAAATGCCCCTGCCCTACCGAGGAAGATGATTAAAGCGAGAAATACCTATCTTATCTTTGACTGAATGGAAAGGAAAGAAACCAAAAAAAGTCTCCCCTTAGAATCTCTAACCACAAGCTTATATTCAGGCAGGTTTGGGGACCAAACTTACATTACTTGTCTGGCCTGAAAAATCCAAAATAAAAAATTTAGTTTAAAGTGTCACAGGTTGAGAAGGCCTTCAGACACTTCACAGATGCAAATGCAAACTGCCTCTAGATGGATGCACTTTGAGCCCAGGTCTCAAACTGCTCCACAACTATGTTCCAAGGAAAATACGCTCACAGCCACAAACTGCGAAACAAGCCCCCCCCGAGTGAGAGGAAGCAGAAACAAACAATAGAACTTCATCTGCAAAGATTGTAGATATTAGAATTACTGGATAAAAAGAATACAATAAATGTGTTATACGTGTATAAACAAATAAAAGACAATGGTAATTACAGAATATATTCTTACAAGGAATAACAGTCTATTAAAACTGACCAAGCAGATATGCAGAAGAACCAAATAGAACATCAAGAAATAAAAAATATTATAAACAAAATTAGAAACTTAATGGATGACTTATTTGGCAGATTAGACAAACTCAAAAGAAAATCAGATACTTAGAATGTACATATGAGAAAAATGTCCACAATGTAGTACAGAAACATGGAAAGACAAAAAGATGGAAAATATGAGTGGTTGGGAGATACATGAAAGTCCATTATATTTTTTAAAGGATGCCCAAAGGAAAGAATAGAGAGAATGAGGGAGAAGCAATATTAAAAGAAACAAGTGAGAATTTTATAGAATTTAAGACAAAGGATTTAAGAAATACAATGAATCCAAAGCAAGTTTAAAAAATGAAATCCATACTCAGATACATTAAAGTGAAATTACAGAACACTAAAGACAAAGAGGAGACCATAAAAGCAAAGAAAACAAACAAACAAAGAAATTACCAGCAAAGGAATAACAATTAGCCTGTCAGCACACTTTTCTACATGAATGACAGAACTCAGAAGTGGCAGAATAATGTCTTTAAATAATAACTGTCAACGTAGAAATTTAACCCCAGCAAAACCAAGGTTTCAAGAACAAGGGAGAAACAGATGTTTTGGACTTATCAAAACTGACTATATTTATAACCAACAGACTCTCACTAAATTAACTTGTAAAAGATGTACTTCAGGAAAAAGGGGAATTATTTTTGAAAAAAAGTCTAAGATTCAAGAAAGGTGAACAAAATATATTTTAAACATGTGGGTGGGCCTAAATAAAGAGTGACTACATGTTTAATTTCAGAGATTTAAAAAACCAACATGTACTAAAACTGGAAAAAAAGAGCATGCAAATCAGGAGGGAAGTGGTTTACATCAAAGCATTCTAAGGACCTTGTATTAATGAGAAAATCATTAAAATCAGCAGTATCAGACTTCAAGTCAAATATGCAGGGTGAAATTTCCAGAGTACACAATAAGAATAGAAATACAGAAGCAGCTCACACTAGTAGAGATTTTTAAAAAATGTAACAAGAGATGGATTATTAATCCAAAAAAGGGGGGAGGGGTGATGAAGGAAGGGAAAGAAAATTAGAAAATATAAGTCAAATAGAAGGTAAAAATAAGAAAACAAAAATGCAAATAGGTCAATGATCATGACCTATTATATATAAAAGGGCTAAACTCTCCAGGTAAAATATAAAATCGCACCTATTTGATCCTTAGAAGACATACTCTTAAAACCTGAGGGCATGGAAAAGTTGAAAGTGAATACCAGGCAAATATTAACAAAAGAAAGATGATAAGAGTTACATCAGACAAAATAATCTTTATAGCAGAAAACATTATGAGATGAAAAGGCCGTATATACAAACTTTTATATTGATAAAAAAGTTTCAATTCAGCAGCAAGATAAAATAATTCTAGACTTCTATGCACCTAACAACAATAGCTTCAAAATATAAAAAGTCTCACTTCTCAATTGAACAGAGAGGCAGATAAATAAAACAAAAACTATGCTAGCAAGTAGGCAAGTAGTGAGAGAATACAGATTTCAATCACAGACTTGATGAGCTTCAATTAACAGACATATATAAAACTTTGTAACCAATAATCAGAGCATATATTTCTCTCAAGCACACATGGAGAAACATTTATGAAAATTCTGTATCCTAGGCTTGAAGTTTTTAAAATGTCATCAAATTCCTCAACATTCTAGCCACTGGGAAGTGGGGGTGGGGGTGTCCATATTCCTTCCCCTTGATTCTGGACCAGCTTTAGTAACTCATTTATAAACAACAGAATGCAGTAGAAGTGGTGCTGAGTACTTCCAAGGCTAGGCCAGAAAGGGCCAGGTGGCTTCCACCTTGTGCTTTGGGGATAAAAACGTCAGAAGAAGCCAGCCCATGGTGAGAAGCCAGAATACCCACAGACCACTAGGCAAGGGAGTAATGCCACCTGACAGCTAGCATCTCAACTACCAGTCATGTGAGTGAGTCACAATCCAGTAAAACCCTACTTAATGTAGAAATATAAAAATTATTCTCTCTAAAATCAAGAATAAGATAAAAATATTTGCTGTTGTAACTTCTCTTCAACACACTACAGATGACTGTAATTCAGTAAGGGAAGAAATAAAAGGTACATACGGATTGAAAAGAAATAAAACTGCTTTTATTTTCAGATAATATAATTCTCTACATAGGAAAAGCAAACTAATCTACAATGAATTACACAAAGGTTTCATTTCTTCCTCATTTGTATGTAGATTCAATGTAGTAACATCGAGTAGGGCTTTCCTAAGAATTTCACAAGCTTAAAATAAATAAAGAGCATAGGTACAAGGTAGCCGAGTACTTCATCTTTAGAAACACCACCAAGTGGTAGGAATTACCTCAGCAGTTATCAAGACTTGCAAAGCTATAGTAATTAAGACATTATGGGACTGACAAGAGGAGCAGAATAAAGAGCCACAAATATACAGAAACCTCATAAAACTGACATTGCAGAGATTAAACTCATTTCCATACTAGGAAACAAATAAAAATGAATCTCTACCTCACATGAACAAAATTTCATTACTGATAGATCAAGGACTTAAATGTAAAAAGCAAAAATTTAAAACTTAAGAAAATATAGAAGAATATTGAAATTTGAATATTTACATACTGTTGATGAAATAGGTGTTCATTAAAAGATGTAAAGGGAGTGAAAAGATAACCCAAAAACTGCTAAAAGATCTTTGCAACACATTTAACCGAAGAATTAGTATGCAGAATATATAAAGAATTCAGTAAGAAAAAAGTCTTTAAGAAAAAGACAAAAACAACCCAATATTCATTACGTAAAACACACACACAAATAAGCATTTTAAAAAGACATAATAATAGACAATACATAGATGGATAAATTCAGCCTCATTAGTAATCTAATGAATGAAATTGAGACTGTAATACCATTTCATATTACCAAACTTTTAACATTTTAAAAGTCTGATCATATATAAGTACTGGCAAGGAAGTGGATAATGAGTACTCTCATAGCCCAACAGAAGGACATCAAATGTGGAAAATGATTTGCCATTACCTAAGAAAGTTGGATGTACTTACGCCTTAAAATAGAGTAATTCCATCCTAAACAATCCTAAGGTATTGTTACTCAATAAATCACTGTTAGCATTTTGGTGGAATAATCTGCTGTGCATTTCTGGAGAATGGCATCCCTATCCCACTATAAGCCAGCAATGCCCTACAATCACTGTGACAATGAAAAACACTCCAAGATTTCTAAATGCCCCTTACAGGGGCAATACTAAACCTAGATGAAATTCACTGTTTCAAAGGAACTCTTACATATGTGCATCCAGGATATGTTCTTATCAGTATCATTCATGGTATAAAAAACTGAAAATCATGTCCACTGATAAGAAAATGGATAGTTGTGGCATGTGCATACAAGAGAACAGTATAATACAGCACGAAAATGACTTGCAAAGACATGTTGGAGAACAACAACAAAATGCAGATAGCTGAAGAATATATATGATTCCATTTAAATAAAGTTTGAAATGGACAAAACGAAATGAGAGTTGCCTAGAGATACATACATATGTGATAAAATTATAAAAAAGGGGAGGTGAATAATGGACAAAGTTCAGAATAGGGTTCTCTTTTCAGGATAGAGATTCCCTCTAGAGAGAAGGGAGGGGGTGAAATTAAGGAAACATACACATCAGACTTCTGTTTCTTAAGCTCAGTGATAGGTAAATTGGTATTTATTATTATTCTTTAAACTGTATGTACTCAACACATATAGTTCACAATTTTTAAAAGTTAAAAAAAAATCTATGTAACTTGTCAACAATGCTCAGAAGCAGCTATAAAAATCTAATTAAAGGCACTAATATAATATCATTCCCTGCTGGCATTCCTATCATTTGTGAAAGAGCAGAGAAATGAATGAAGCTGCTGATGTACTGTGACAGCCCTGGACCACAATCTTGTAATATTCCTTTGACATTTTTTAACTTATACTCCACACATATTATTTGCTAATAGGATGAGATTACAGGCAAACAGAAGACCAAATGCATATGTATCATCTCACATAGTTGGACAAAACTATTAAACATACACACATTTTCTAGATAACTAAACCCAAATCCCTAGTCGCTCATATTTATACAGTAACTAAGAGTTGATAGTACGTATTCTCATTCATTATAATAAATTTGACTGACTGCTTTCTTTGTACCAGACCTTCTAGGTAAGACAGTGTTGCTCTTAAAGAGCTACTACACAGTGAAAGGTAGGCGGGGGAGGGGAGACTATATGCGAACAAGTATATGTACACAACTCACTCAGCTCAGTAAGTAGACTTAAAGAAAAATAAGAAGCCAGTCAATTCGAGATAGGGCATGGGAAATTTCATAACCTTGCACAGTTATAAGGAATTTCCTATACAAATTTGGGAAGAAAGGGAATTCCAGAAAAAGGGACCAATATAACTAAAGGAAAAAAGTCACAGAACTAAAGACTTACCTAAAACACTCTTAGTAATCTGAAATATGTGGGGTGAGGTATGTCTAACTAGAGAGTTTGTAAAATTTTAGTAATTCAGAGAAGAAGTAAGATCCTAAAAATAAGGCAGTCACAGAAGAACAGAGAAAAGGACAAAACTTTCAGTTATTTTGGAGAGAGAATTAAAAACAAATAATAAAATGAAGAGAGAAAAAGAAAATCTCTAAAATTGAGACACAACAGTTAAAAAGGTAGACAGGACTTAGAGAATGGTGTTATAAAAGTCAGATTTTCAGGAAGAAGGGAGAGATCACTAACTGGATATAGAAAGCAGAGGTAGATTATAACAATCACTGGATGTGGCAGTAAAATTGAGTAGTTTTTTCTAGACTGTTGAGAGATAGTTATGCATACTTTCGGGCTGCAGTGAAAGGTTGAAAATATGGCATAAAGAAGGGATAACCAATGGAAAAAGTCCTAGATGAAATATGAAGGGATAGACAAGACCACATAAGCAGTGAAATTATACAGAGCAAAGGAAGGGGCTTTTCTTACCAAGAGAGGCATTCACACTGACTGTTCACTCAGTAAGCTTTGCTGAATATCATTTCACATTACCAGATTTGTAACATTTTAGAAATCTGTTCATACCAAGTATTGGCAAGGAAGTGGACAATGAGTACTATGTTAAGTGCTAGGGGATACAAGATATACAATGTAACTAAGTCCTTGACTTCAAAGACTTCACAGCTTAATGGGCAAAATACAGTGATTCTAATATAATGTTCTAAGTGTAAATACACTCAGATAAAAAGGGTAATGTGGCCACACAGAAGTTAGAGAGGGGCAGGAATTTAAAGGACTTCCTGCTTGATATCTTCTTTGTAAATAGAAGGTGCAGTCATCTGCCAAGTTTTGGGGGAAATGAAGAGGTGGCAGGCAATATGTAGGAAGGATGGAGTATTCAAAATAGTTGTTCAGATACTTTTATTCAAGATTTACTATGTACTGGGTACTGTAACAAGTGCTTTTATATATATTACTTCTTTGATTCTCAAAATAATCCTATTTTCATTTTACCAGTGGAAAAAACTGAGGCTTAGAGGTTAAAAATTGAGAGGTGTTAAGGACTACACTGAGACCAGAAACCATTTTTTTGTAAAAAGCAACAATTCACATGATTGTGCCATTTTCTCTTGCTGTTGGTGCCTCTCAGACCAACAATACCACTGACTCAGCACTGTGGGTCCACAGGGTCAGGGAAGGTATAGGAGAAGAACACGGGAAATGGGGAATTGAAGATACTGGAAGGAGAGCAAGTTAAGTAGTTTACCATGGGGTCTGTGGCTCAGGGAAACAAGGCAGACTTGGAGAAAAATGAAGGAATGAAAAATTTTGAGAACACTGAGCAGTAGTAACAAATTTTAAAACATCGAGTTGAGGTAAGAGAAGGATTTTAAAAATTTAGTGTGACGACAAGGGCCAGAATGGACCACAGCACTGAGTTCCTTAAAAGGAATGGGAGCCGCTAAACGGGAGGAGGTCACATTCTATCTCCATTTCGATGTTATTTTCACTATCCACAGCTGTCTATACCTCACAAGCCCTTATCCATTAACATTTGGTCTATTTTTTATAATTATGCAATTCCCAGTCTTAATAAACAAGCAGGTATTATCAACTGAGCCTTTTCTTACTAATTTTAAGTCATCATTATCATCATCATCTTTAGGAATGAGTGCTTTTCTAGGTGGGATTCTTCCTTCCCTTCCTTTGAGGCAGCTTTCAGTTCTCACTGCTGTCGTGTAACTGCTACTACAGATGGTCCTGACTTATGAGAGTTCAACTGAGGATTTTCCAACTTTACAATGGTGCAAAAGTGATATACATGTAGAAACCATGTTTTTAATTTTGAACTCTGATCTTTTCCTGGGCTAGTGATATGCAGTATGATATTCTATTGTGATGCTGGGCAGCAGCAGTGAGCCATGGCTCCCAGTCAGCCACGTGGTCACGAGGGCCAACAACCAATACACGGACGACTGTTCTGAACCCACACAACCATCTGTTTCTCACTTTTGGTACAGCATTCAATTACATGAGATATTCAGTACTTTATTATAAAATAGGCTTTGTGTTAGATGATTTTGTCCAACTGTAGGCTGTTAAGTGTTCTGAAGACATTTAAGGCAGGTCAGGCTAAGCTGCGATATTCAGTATATTAAGTACATTAAATGCATTTCTGACTTAAGATATTTTCAATTTAAATGGGTTTATTGGGATGTAAACTCATCATAAAGTAAGGAGGATCTGTAATTTCTAATTGCTATACCATGGAACAAAAGGTAAAGAAATTAAAATAAAATCAGAAAGCTTAATTTTATACCCAATACTGCATCACCTGAGGGTGGTTTTAGTTCTTTTCAATGGATTAAAGACCAGTGACTGTGGCAAGGCTTTTATACTTCTGAGAAGGAAGGTAACTCCCAAATGACTTAAACTGCTGGCCAACTGGACTTCTAGATATTATTGTGTTTCCAAAAGCTCTAACTAACATTGAAATTTATTACTTTCTAAGCCATTATATAAGAATGTTTTTCTCAATATGAAGCATGACTCGTTCTTTCTGAGTGAATCTGTAGAACAATTACAACCACTCTAATAACCACTATTACCTCTTTCTTGGCTTCTTTTTTGGGATCATAATCACTATCATTTCCATCCATTGGGTGTGTTTCTTCTACATCATCATCACTGAGAAGAAACAAAGATTAGTAAACGTAATTCCCTTCTTTGTTTTCTATTACAGTACGCTTATCAAACTGCAAGATACCTTGCTAATAATTTTACTAAATATTCCCCAACAGAACAAGAGTTGTCCTTAGCAAGATGAGCTTTTATAACTTAGATTTCTATAGTGTTGAAAAACATTTGTTCTTTTGGCAACCATTTCTAGCTAAAAAAGAGACCCAAAAGGAAAGATATTTTGAAAAAGAAGTATCATTTAAGAAAGAGAACACATATATTAAATTAATACTTATTATTTCAGCTTTTCCACTTGGAGGATAAAGACAGACAAACACCAGAGAGCAAATTGATTTTATGCTACCAGGAAGATACAGCTACAATAATATGGACTTCAGTTACTCAGGCAATTGTGGAAAGAGCATCTTCTAGAAAATATATTTATTAATATGTTCTAAATATACATACTGAATGTATCAATACTAAAAGGAAGCATTTGTGATTACAGCTAAACACAGCTCAAATGTAACTTGGCTGCAATGTTTGCTGGGTATGATGAATAGATAAAGAGTTAGAGTTCTTACTCTTAAGATTTGTGATCACTCAGCTCTTCCTGTGATAGTAGAAACATGAACATAAGGATAAGAAGTATTTACATTGTGTTGTGATAATTTTTCTGCCTTAGGAAATGTAAGCAGCCCAATACAGTGTAATTACCAATGTAACTATATAAAGGCATCCATCCAACCTACCTGTCACCCTGATTGTGTCTATTGGCTAGTTTACGAGCCTGGCGATCCATCAAACTTGTCCTAGATCGAGTTTTTTTCCAAGAATAGTAATATTTTACAAGGCTAGCAATTGTCTTATCTGGAAGCTTGAAAAGAAAAATCACATTAATATCGGCAAGTTTAATTCATAAACTTTGATTAACAGAATGAACAATATTTCTGATATTATTCTTTGATACTTAGCAAAGGCATAGATAAAAAAATTTCCATGTGTATCTTTATGAATTATAGAGCTAAAAAGTTCTGTCACAGTCATTACACCCCACCACACCTATATCACTAACATTTCTGAATGAATATTTCCTATTCGGTCTGAGGAGGGAGGAGAAAGACATCACAAACTAACATGGTGAGAATGGACCCAGAAGTCCCCAGCACAATGTTAGTACTGTGTTCCTATTTGTTTTCCTTAAAGAGTTCCTCAATTCTTTCTTTTCCTCTCTGTAAGTTGGCATTTTTTTACTGATACATAATTCATATACCACAAAATTCACCAGTTTAAAGTGTACAATTCAGTGGCTTTTAGTATATTCACTAAATTGTGCAACAATCATTATTTAATTCCAGACATTTTCATAACCTTGAAAAGAAACTCTATATTCACTAACAGTCACTCCCTCTTCTCTCCTAAACCCAGTTCCTGGCAACTACTATCTACTTTCTCCTTCTGTGGATTTGCCTATTCTGGATGTTTTGTATAGATGGAATCACAAATATGTGATCTTTTATATCTGGCTTTTGTCACTCAGTATGTTTTCAAGAAAAGCTATTCAACTCTTAACAATGAATCTTCAAAATCATTTTGTTTTAAATCCAGGTTTTAAAATGATGAATACTGCAAACAGACTTCAGCTACCAAATAAAGTCTTGGATATTAAAATGACTAATGATCATGCACTGATTTGTCATACTGTCAAACAAGGATGTGCACACTCCCAGTCAAAAAGGTTTTCTTCAATTATGGAACACATTAAACATATTTGCAAACATTATCTAATTTTAATCCATTCAGGTTAAGAGTTTAATGCAGCACCTTCTCGGGTTTGAATTATTTTGATGAAACACAAAAATTTAAGAACTAGAAATAAAGAGCAATTTTTCTCCTTAAAAAAAGGCAACAGAACCTGAACAATACTGAAAAATTACAGAATTAAAAAAAAATTGACTTTCATATCCAAAGGAATACAAATTAGAATATAAAATCCTATTGTTAAAAAATGAAACATTTAAAAATAAAATTGAAATGGTAATGTTTCTCCTGGAATGACAAATATATTAATAACTATTACACATAAATTTAAATCATAATTAAGTTAATTTACATCAATGAAATAGCACATAACTAACATGCATTAGACTGGTTGTAGAAAATAAGACTATGCAAATATACCTATTTCAAAATACTTATAAAAATTAAAGTTAGATTGGAAAACTTTCATATTTAATAATTTAGGAAGTGTTTAACAATAGCATAACATATCTTTCAGTTGTAAATCACAGTAAGACCAAAATTACCATACCATTTGCTGAATCCTGTGAAAGCTCTTCCCATGAAAACTAAAGGCTTGTTCAAATAGGACTTTATCTTCTACTGTCCACTCATCCGGAAAGGGAGTGAAATTAGGGAGATCAGCAAGGGACTTCTCAATGTTATGTTTATGCCAGAACAACATGCCAAGTGCCTTTGAAGAGAAATCATTCCCCTTTGGTTTTAATGGACTTATGTTCCATCACACTTAAGAAAGTTAAACACAAACTGGGTTAAAATCTTAATCCTACAACTTCAACTTTCTGTACTTTGGTGATACTCTAAAATGAACATATGTGCAGGCACATTTTCAAGGATTTTCTCAAATATTAAGCAGAAAGTTAAAATCTTAATCCTACAACTTCAACTGAAAATACACTCACAGTTTGGGACCTTTAAGCAGGGAGCCCAGGTAGCAGACCTCATTGATTTATTTCTTTTAAATCAGGGCCTCAGAACAGTGAATGTTTTACATACCATATTTGCTGCAGAATCTAGGAAAAACAGTAAGCTGAGGAGAATGACTATAAATACTAAAGTAGGTTTGTAGGCTTACCCACATTTATTCATTTGTCAATGTGTAGAGAAAAATATGCTAAAAGGAGAATATCCAGCATATTAATAATCAATACTTGAATGAAATTATCAGTTATAACAAAAAACTAAAGTGCTCAGTAGAGATTTAGTAGAAAGTTTTAACCTGTAAGAAGTGTATCATGGGCTAAACACTTCCAAGAAGTAGGAGTACCTCAACTGCAACTTTAGTAATACTTTACCACACATATTTTAAAGTTTTTTACTTTAACATAATGTGCATTACATTTATGTACACAAAGAAATATTATGAGGCATTTTAATAGCTTCAATAACTTTATTACCAAATCATAAGAAACCCTGCAATGGGCAATTTCCAACAATTCCACAACTTTCCCTTGTAAGCATTTATTTTTACTACAAGACAGAATCACTTAGAAGATAAAAGTTTTATTTTTTTTATAAAAGATACAGCAAATTTTTAAACAGTGAACTTTAACATTAATTTCTGTACCTTGGTGATACTTTAAAATGAATATATGTGCAGGCACATTTTCAAGGATTTTCTCAAATATTAAGCAGAAAGTCAACCAAACTTTTTCTTTTTCTTAATACAAAACACATAAAGACTTCAAAATCCACAAGAGTTAACTACATTTAGATAAACATGTCAGTTTCACAGCAATGATATTTTATTATTTAACCATGCTACTATGAAGTTAGCTCTTAATAGTTCACATTACAGATAATTCATTTATTTTACTAGTAGTTCTCATACAGGCTGATATAATACTTAGTTGAAATGACATATAAGAATCTCTATTTTCATTCCCTCATTAAGGATAATAACCATATGCCATATATATCTCCTTCCAAAGTTAACGAATTTTTAAAAAGCCTTATGTGAATTATTTCATTCAAAATTTGAAAGTCTTAATACTTCAAATAAAAAGTTTAACTCTTGGGTTTTTTAGGTGAATTGCCTGTACTCAAATTTTCCCCCCCTTTTTGGTAAGCATTTACCAGAATAATCTTGAAGGCTTTCAGGTACTCTTAGAACTCATAACATAATAAAAAAGAGGTTTTGAAAGAAAAATATTCAAGCCTGTAAGATGAATAATGTTTATAAAGGCAAAATTCTTAATGCTTTTGAAAAATCTGACCTGCTAGGACTTTTGTGTTATTATTGGTTAAACTTATTCTTAGGACAGAAACTATCAAGAGATGTTCTTCAGATTTGATAAATATTGAGGCAAGCCTTAGTATTAAAATGTTTCTCTACATACCTGTTCCACATTGTAGCCATGTTTCTCCTTTGCAATTGCAATATATTCATCCACTGTAATGAAACAATAGTACATAGTTAATTATTCTCATTTATTTCATTTGCCCAGATCTACTATTTTTTTTTAAGAAAACAAAATAAAAAGAATTATATTGCAAGGGTTAGAAAAACTGCCAGGCAATTTTCGTGAAATTTTACAAAAAAGACTTAACTTCTTTGAATAGGATAAGAAGCTTACTTGATTTAAAATTTTACTTAGTATGGCTTATCTCTATGACCATACAGCATATACTTATTAAATTCAATGACATTACTATAATTATTTTTGTACATAAAAAGACCAATCTGTGGGCAACCAACAGAACCTAATTACTGTGTACAATATTAGATATTTATCGATATTCTCTTGCAGTCTTTATTTGACGAGACTTAGCTGTTTAAGACCCCATCTCATATTTAGAGTTGGCCTAAAGCCTTTACCTTCCCACTTCTGATTGCTATATAAAAGATGATCTATCTGTAGTTTTGCCAGTTGTACATAATACCAACATATTTAAGTATGCTTTAGTATCCCTAACATTTTCTTCAGCTCTTCCTGCTAGCTGTATAAAAGGTGTTTGAATATTGCATTTTCATCAATCCTGCATTTGTTATCAAGCCAATAGAATTATTTACATAAACATAGCTTCAATGATGATACACTGGCTATTTCAAGACCTCACTGCTGGGAAGTCTGCCATTTCATATTCAGCAGGACTCAGTTTTATGTGAAGTCCACATAGCCACTCCTACTTGATCCTCTATATAATATGTATGTTATATATATACGTATGTACATATATAAAAATTATATATAATACACACAAATTTTATATATATATAAATTAATTCTTTAGGTGCATTTTTAAAGAAACAGTGGTTAAGAATTCTGATCCTAGAAGAGCTAGTCCACTTGGGCTTGATTCTCAGCCTTGTCACTAGTTTTTTGACTTTGGCAGTTAACTTGAACTTTTTATACCTTAGTTTCTTCACTTTAAACATGTTAAAAACACTACTTTCTTCCTACAATTAAATAATATATGCAAAGTGCTTAGAATATTAGAATAGCACCTGGCACATTTTTAGTACTTTATAAGAATTTGCTATCATTATTAGCATAGTTTAATACATAAATATGCTATTATAACAATAATGCTGTTAGAATAATAACTTTTTTTAAAGGATGTTATTGTATCTCTCTAACACTGTAAGCCTTTGGTGCAGAAAATCCAAATATCTTATGTGAATTATTTCATTCAAAATTTGAAAGTCTTAATACTTCAAATAAAAAGTTTAACTCTTGGGTTTTTTAGGTGAATTGCCTGTACTCAAATTTTCCCCCCCTTTTTGGTAAGCATTTACCAGAATAATCTTGAAGGCTTTCAGGTACTCTTAGAACTCAAAACATAATAAAAAAGAGGTTTTGAAAGAAAAATATTCAAGCCTGTAAGATGAATAATGTTTATAAAGGCAAAATTCTTAATGCTTTTGAAAAATCTGACCTGCTAGGACTTTTGTGTTATTATTGGTTAAACTTATTCTTAGGACAGAAACTATCAAGAGATGTTCTTCAGATTTGATAAATATTGAGGCAAGCCTTAGTATTAAAATGTTTCTCTACATACCTGTTCCACATTGTAGCCATGTTTCTCCTTTGCAATTGCAATATATTCATCCACTGTAATGAAACAATAGTACATAGTTAATTATTCTCATTTATTTCATTTGCCCAGATCTATTTTTTTTTAAGAAAACAAAATAAAAAGAATTATATTGCAAGGGTTAGAAAAACTGCCAGGCAATTTTCGTGAAATTTTACAAAAAAGACTTAACTTCTTTGAATAGGATAAGAAGCTTACTTGATTTAAAATTTTACTTAGTATGGCTTATCTCTATGACCATACAGCATATACTTATTAAATTCAATGACATTACTATAATTATTTTTGTACATAAAAAGACCAATCTGTGGGCAACCAACAGAACCTAATTACTGTGTACAATATTAGATATTTATCGATATTCTCTTGCAGTCTTTATTTGACGAGACTTAGCTGTTTAAGACCCCATCTCATATTTAGAGTTGGCCTAAAGCCTTTACCTTCCCACTTCTGATTGCTATATAAAAGATGATCTATCTGTAGTTTTGCCAGTTGTACATAATACCAACATATTTAAGTATGCTTTAGTATCCCTAACATTTTCTTCAGCTCTTCCTGCTAGCTGTATAAAAGGTGTTTGAATATTGCATTTTCATCAATCCTGCATTTGTTATCAAGCCAATAGAATTATTTACATAAACATAGCTTCAATGATGATACACTGGCTATTTCAAGACCTCACTGCTGGGAAGTCTGCCATTTCATATTCAGCAGGACTCAGTTTTATGTGAAGTCCACATAGCCACTCCTACTTGATCCTCTATATAATATGTATGTTATATATATACGTATGTACATATATAAAAATTATATATAATACACACAAATTTTATATATATATAAATTAATTCTTTAGGTGCATTTTTAAAGAAACAGTGGTTAAGAATTCTGATCCTAGAAGAGCTAGTCCACTTGGGCTTGATTCTCAGCCTTGTCACTAGTTTTTTGACTTTGGCAGTTAACTTGAACTTTTTATACCTTAGTTTCTTCACTTTAAACATGTTAAAAACACTACTTTCTTCCTACAATTAAATAATATATGCAAAGTGCTTAGAATATTAGAATAGCACCTGGCACATTTTTAGTACTTTATAAGAATTTGCTATCATTATTAGCATAGTTTAATACATAAATATGCTATTATAACAATAATGCTGTTAGAATAATAACTTTTTTTAAAGGATGTTATTGTATCTCTCTAACACTGTAAGCCTTTGGTGCAGAAAATCCAAATACTGTATTTTGTTTAGAACCCTTCCTTAACACTTAAACACATGATATGTCTAAATATATACTGATTAACAGAAATGTTTTACCGCCCTATAAACAGAAGGCCAAACAATAGCAATCAATCTGTGGTTCTCAAACCTGGCTATGCATTAAAATCTGTGGGGGAGCTTTTAAAATGTAAGTCCAGGCTCCATTACTGAAGATTATGATTTAACTGGTTTGAGATCAGTAGTGTTTTTTAAAGTTTCCCCCAAATGATTCCAATGCAAGCCAGGGTTGCAAACCACTGCCCTAGACCTTCAGCTGGAAATTCCATCCTATGCACACTACGAGGACATGCTGGCTTTCTGAAATCTGTTCTCCACTTTGCTAAGAAATGCACCATTGCACAAAGCAGTGTCAAAACAGCAAAAACCAATGACACCCTGATGCCCAGTTTGTGAATGCAAATCTTTGCCTCTAATAAGGACTGTGCAGAAAAACCCAATAGTCTCTCTCAGGTTTCTCAGTATACGGTCTCAGGACAAATGTACAACTTCATGTTTTCTGTTAAGAATGCCTCAAAGACATATTAATTCCTAGATTACCCACCTTTTGATGGTATTCTAAAGCTCTTAAACAGGAAGAATTATCAGGTGTGCAGAATACTATTCAGTTTTCAATCTTCAGTTCTCTTACTGCATCAATAAGTACGATTAGACTTACTATGCAAATGATATATAGGACATCATTAATTTCCATGGTACTAAATAAACCATCATGGGACATCTTTAAGATTTAGTAAATGTTTTTAAAAGACAAGCTTATTTTACAGCTGCTAGAATAGCTGTACAGTGGTTTTTGTTTTAATAAATTCAATGATAACTAAATGGAGGGGTGGGGTTCTTAGTTTTGTTACCTGAACGTTTCCTATATCTGATGTGCCGCAAAGGATCAGGTCCGCTACATCACATTGAAGTCTAAAGCCACACCATGATTCAAGAAGTGATTGGTCAATGATCCAGAAGGTCTCCGTCCAGAAATGGAGAGCTCAAAGATGACCTGATTGATGGCTGCTGAAGTCAGTTCTTTCCCCTTTCCTCTTTAAAATGGTAATGATAGTGGGCTCTTTGAAGTTTGAAGGCATTTCTTTACAGCTCCATATACTGAGGAAAAGCCTGTGCAGATGTCTACATAGTAACTCCCTCCCCTGCTTGAGGATTTAGCAGCAATGCCATCAGATCCTAGGTTTTTTCAGTCTTCCTGGGCCTGACACAAATTGGAATGATCAACCCACTATCTTTCAAAAGGAAAAACATTCTAATATAACAACCTCCATCAGAAAAACAAAACAGAACAAAGACAAACTGTTTTCTTATGTGGATCTAAGAGACCCGAACAAAATATAAGTTGCATGTTGAATTGGTTGTTAGATCCCTATTGTCATTAACACTGAATTTCAGAAAACTTACATTTGGCATCTGGAATACTGTGATATGGAGACCATACAAGCATTCCTCCATTGTCTTTATCTGTGTACTTTGTAGCACCTAGGGAAAAAGTTAATTGCTTTGAATATGATGGATTTTATTTACATTTGAAGTAAGTGTAAACAAAGTAAGCTTCATTTCTATTTTAATATAGTATCTGCAAAACAGGACAAAGAAGCAAAGTACAGGAAAACAGAGAAGGAAAGCAGATTTACATTAAATATAGTAAATACCCCATTTACAGAATGAAGGAAATTTCAAAAACACTGATGCTTGCCCCCTTTAAATAGAAAAGAAAGACTTTCTTAAATACATTATATATCCCTACTTCTTGACAGGTAATAAATTTGATTTAACCTTCTATACATTACTTAGGAGTTAAAAAACTCTGACTTTTAAAACTAGAAAGACTACTTCAGGTGTTAATTCTGCTTTGCCCATATCTAATTAAGTCATTACTATAATTTTTAAAGACTTGTATTTGCTTTTTATGGTTTTTATTTAATTGTATTCCTTGCTAGGGGTCTGCAAGCTATTCCTTTTTAGATTTAACTCTAGTTGAAGCATACTACTGCTGTTTCTAATTTATTTTGAATCTGTTTTAACCTAAAAAGCCAGAAAAATCAAGCTCTACTGAAACTGCTTGTATTGTAAGAGTACACAGAATGAACAGAATGAATAAAGGCCTGATACATTCTAGCACCAAGTACATGCCGGTGGGTTCTGTCTTTTAATTACTCAGTGGTATTTTTTTGGTTTCTTCTTAATTCTTAGGTGCAACAAGTTAATTAAAACTATCAAGAAATGAAGCATTATTGCCTCCTGCCTTAAGAAGACTTGTCTCTGAATATGTCCTAATAGACTTTATGAGGTATTGACAGCTATTACGAACTAATGGTCAGAATTCTAAAATTATTCACATAAAAAATTAACAGAATTCTGAGGTTAAGCTGTAATCATTTATCAAGTTAAAAGGCAGATGGAATAAATTCATTTCTGGAGTAAAGGAACTACTACTGTCATCTCAGTTTAGAGAAGTTATCTATAAAGCAATAATTCAATTACCATTCACTAGTTTTTTTATTTTTGGAGAATCATTACACATCATTACTGTATATTCAGTTAGCAAATTTTTGAGAATGATACTGAGTGAAATATGAAACTAAAATTGTTTTAAAATTGTTTTACTATAAGGAAAAAGTAAGGATGGAGAAAAGAGAAATGAGAGAATATTATCAATATATTAGAAAAACCATAATACAAAACAAATCTAAAAGTAAAATATATTATATAAGTATCTTTAGTGACAAAAACAGGAGCTCTGAGTTAGAATTACATTAAATGTAAGTTACAAGAATATTATCTAATATTTATATTCAAAAAACTTCAATATTAAGACATATATTTAATTAACTGCATAAGATAACACAAAAGCAAAATAGCCAAACCACTCAATAGAACTAAAAAAGACATCATGCTACATTGTTCAAAAGCCTTCACTTAATAAAATCTATCGCTATTTCTAAAGAGTATCCTAAACTTCAATCTTTTAACATGGGACTGATTCTTTTTCACAATGGCCTGTAACAATATGATAATTTAAATCCCACTTCATAGAATATGGAATGCAACAAAGGTTTCCATTAAGTTTCAAGTCTTAATAGCATATCGTGCTTAATATTTAAACATATTTCCTTGCATCTGATTCTTGCATTACAGAAAGCCTGAATTAAAACATCTTTCTTAAGTGAATCTTCTTAAACAGATAAATAAAATTAACTTTTTGCATTTTCCCCCATGAAGAATAACATCTAAGTTTCCCCCAAAATTCTTAGCACGGTGATTAAGGGCCTGATCTGACAGAAACTGACATCCAAGCTGTGGGCACTAACATCCCTTCTAATATGGGTGGGGTGTATGTGTGTGGAGAGGATAATCATATCTAATAGCAGAGAATGCTCAATTAGGCATTTCACAATGTTCTCTCCCTGACCCTTGAAATGGACTATACCATTTTTAATCATATATTTGTCAACTAGACTCACAAGAAGATGGAAGTTCACAGAAAATGACAGATATTATAGTATAATGGTTAAGAGTACAACCATTATAGAGACAGACTCTACCCTTTCCCAGTTTTGTCACCTTGGGCAAATTCATTTAATTTGTGTCTCAGTTTAACTCATCTTTACAAATAGGGACGAATTTGCGTGTCATCCTTGTGCAGGGGCCATGCTAATCTACTCTGTATGGTGCCAGTTTTAGTATATGTGCTGCCGAAGCGAGCACTGTAACAGTATTTTCGATTATACCAAAACTGTCCAATACTCAGAAATAACAGTAAGAAGCAGACTTGACTCCCTGGCAAAATAGGGAGCTTCTAACCAAGCCTTAGAAGCATCCTATCTTCTGAATGGATTAAAGAACAAACCAAAACCTAGATAGCAAGCTACCATAGTTCTAAAGGACTACAGTAGCCCAACAGTTCTGAAAATAAAACTGAACAGTTTTTAAAAGATTAGATGAAACATTAAAAAGTTTAATCCCTTTGAAATCTTTTAGAACTCCCTAACTGCAATTGGCAACTGGGGAAAACCAACAACTGAAAAACAAAAGTGTCATTTCGATAAGCTGGGATTTCTACACCAACAGCAAATTTCTAAGTAAGTACAAATATTAAAATCTTGTTTCTTTTTATATTTCCTTTAAGACATTTAGAACAAGGATTTTGATGAAATCATGGTATAAATATTTCTAATAGAGCTTAAATATTGAGAATGTTAGGATACGCCAAATACTTTTAAAATTCTATTTATAAATAATGCTCTGAATTACACCCTTAAATCACCAACTTTAAACTGCAGTAAACAGACTTTCCAAGGGGTACATAAGCATGAGTACATTTTATAGGAATCAGTTTTCAGACCTTCAACTTCCCTATGTTCTCCTTCGCAAGATGTTTCCCACAAGTTCTGCTTTAGAATTCACCTGCAGTCTAAGTTATATACTCATTCTACTTCTGATGACTTTCTTCACAAATGCCCTTCTCTTACTTTAAAAAAATAAAAAAAGCAGGTCTCTCATCCTATCTCAAACCTTATTAAGAGTACATCACCTAAAATTCTAAAACTTCCATAGTGCCAAACAAAGGGTGTCAGCACGGCCTTTATTCAAGGCACCATGACTATTACAATTTTAATTAATTATTCATAACTGTAATAACTCAAGCCAGAAGTGGTTTAACACTTAGAATCTTATGTTCACAAGAAAACATATCATGGTGGCAGAAAAACTGGACAGGTGATCAATATAGCACTTTTAAGTGCAAAAACACATTATAAAATTCTGTGGAGAAAATGTATGGAAGATTTCAAAGACAAAAAGGAACAATGTAAACTTCAGACCATTAGGAGCCTGTCCATATATTTTATAAAATACTTTCACATTACTACAGTACATTTAATTGGATGCACTTAAACTAAGAACTTTTATTTCAAAGTATTAATATTTCCAATACACTGGAGATATCATTTTTTAACTATTTAAACCTAGTGACATAATATGTATCAACTTAAAAACGTGAATTAGTTTTTCGAAGTCAGTTTATGGGTATGCAAGTAAAGTATCTGCAGACCACTGCTTTACATACATTTTCACTTAATCTTGTGCTAAAACATAATGTCAACATTATCTTTTACAAATGAGAAAACTAAGGCCTAGATATGTCAGATAGTTCACCCAGGGTCACTGTGCCATATTTGCTAGAAGTCTTAAGAGGTGAGACTCTTACTCATCACACAAAATTGCTCCTCGTGGCATAGTTACAGTCAGTAGACACTAAATAAAAGCTGGGAAGAACTAGTAAAGAATCAAAAGAAAAAAGGCACCTACGAAAATCATCAGAAATCCAGTTTGTAAATTATTATAAAGGCATTCTTAACTATAGTCTGTTAATTAATATAAATTGTTCCTTATCTTCTAACTCCAGTAATTCTAATATAAATCTCAATACTCTTAAATTTTCTAAAATACTAATTTTAATAATTCATTTTGTGCTTAATTTCTATCATCACTGTTATCTCCTCCAATAAAAGTATCCTCCATAGAAAGATATTCCCTTTAATTTTCATATATTCTGATTAAAAAATCTTGGTACCTAAGGAATTTTTCTTCCAAGTGACTTGGGTGATTCATCCAAATAAATGGATGAACAATATCCATGAAGACAGTTCTAGTGGTTTATGAGACTAAAGATAATGGTATGAAAACAGGAGAGGAGCTTATAATTTCTCAACTTCTACACTAGTTAGTAAATGTCTTTTTCAAGGAAACATATTTAAATTCTCATCCCACTATAGTGAATCGATGTGAAGTAGAAACTTCAACAGTGCAACATTTACGAGTAAATAGAAGTGATACTGTTGCATTCATTGTGTGCCTCATATTTCCTTGTGAAAATATTTTACTTAAAATTTATTACTTTTCCTTGTGAAAAGTATCGAATAGAGTATCCAATAATTACAAGTATCCAATAGATACTTTTAACAAGAAAAAATAACTAATAATCAATAACCTATATTTACTTGACATGGTTTATCCATAATGGCTATAGAAAAGCCCACTTAAGGTTAATGGTAAATGGTTCTAGTTGTATCCTTGGGATCAGTATTCTTCTGCAGAAGATAATTAAGAAGTAAATTTATAGGTGAATTTAAGGATGTGACATTTATCCTTATTCTAATAAAGAATATCAGTTATTGAGTAAATAATGACTTTAAAAATTGTAATACTTCAGTGATTCTTTTTCCCACAAATATTTTACTTAGGTTCAAAATAAAACATGATGATCAAGGAAAAAGGATGATTCAAGTAGTGGTCATCTGAAACTACCTATAAAGTATTTTTCAGTTTCAGTGAATTATTTTTCTAATTTTGAAATTTGTTGCAGCATTTAGTCTGTCATGAAACAAAAAATATTTTATAGTCATCACCAGGCCACGGCACATGAAAATTTGTTCCAGGATGAAATTATGGCTCTTAAACACAAGATCGCTAATTAACTGGTAAATAGTTGTCTGTGAAATATAAACCTACCTAATGGGGCAAAAAGACAGGTATGTTTATTACATTATGAAATAAATCTGGTTGGCTTTTAATCTAGAAATGTTTATCAATTCCCCTCAAAAAGCTAGAAAGCCCCAAGTCAGAAAGGTATAACGGTATGCAGAATCATTCTTCATAATTATGATATTTCACCTTTACTGAATAACTGCCATATGCCCAGTCAGGTAATCCTGGCAAGAATCCTATGAAGTATTTTTTATTTCCATTTTACAACTAGGGAAGAAGCTCTAGGAAGGCCAGTGATTTGCTCAGAGCACAAAAAGAAAAGACATGGGAACTTAATTCAGTCCATCTTAAGCCAAAGGATACTCTTTCAAATGTCAAGCTAAAACCTGAGAAGGCACAGTAATGTGAAAGTGCCATTCACTTACTAGCTACATCAATAAACAATATTAGTTTCACGAAACATTTAAAATTGCAAGCGCACCAGTATACACACTGATAGCTTTTGTATAAAATATACTGACAGCCATGTCATTTAGAAGGCAACCCAGATCTGGGGAGCACTCCTGTATCACTATTTTACTGAAGATCAGCTTGCACTGGCAATCTTTTTAGTGCTCTTTATCCTCTCCTTTGGGACAGCGGAAGCTAGTACCTAAAACTCTCTAAGTGGTTGGTAAATGTCATTTTGCATTGCAGTAATGGGCTGGAGAGAAATGAAAATACCCATCTATACCTTATAATCAAATAAACATCCAAGTAAGCCCTATTAATATCTCACACAGAATTCAAGAGTCAGACACAGAAACAACGTTATTGTGAGCGGGCAATGGGCAAAAACACTGACCCACTCTAAAAAGAAAAAAGCCCTTCAAAGTCTGTTTAAAGCCTGGAATGAAGAGGGTCTGGGGTGGGGCGGGGAGAAGGAAACACGCTCCACTGTGAGAGGCTCCCGCAAGGGCGCCTCCATATGCGGAACTCTGGCCCAATCCCCGTCCAGGCTGAAATCCCGTGACCGTCAGGGAGCCTGTTTGGAGAAAAGTAGACAGGGAGCCCGCAAGCTGGGTTGGCAGAGGACGCTGGAACCTGGCTGCTCGGGGAGAAAATGTCTCCTTGGCAGCTGTAGCCACTGTCCTGTGGTCTGACTTCCTAGGGCTGGCTCGCGGGCGAGGTGCGCCTCTGGCTTCTCCCCACCCGCTTCCCCCATCCCTTTCTCTTCGCGGCTCCGACCCTCCGCAGAGCTGTCGCGACCAAAGCTACACCATCTAGCCAAAAAGAAAAAGAAAACAGAAAATTCCGTGTTCGCTCGGGCCGGGCAGGGCTCGCCCTCGGCTTCGGCCCGTGACAGCAGCCCCGGCATCCGCCGCCCTTGCGGAGCGCGGCCCTCCGCTCCCGAAGACCGGCGGTGTGGCAATTGACATTTGCAGGGTTCTTGCACACACAGCCCGCACACACTCCTCTCCAGCCCCCGGCCCCGCAGCCGCTCTTCCCCCGGCCTCGGACCCCCGAATCCGTCGAGCGCCGCCTCCCTCTGCTCTCCCCGACCTCGCCCCGGGCTCAGCGGGCAGAAAGGCGAGGCCATCAGCGGGCAAGTGGCCTCCAAAGGAACCATGTTAACCTTGCAATGCACACATCTGCCCACACGCTCTGTGTCCCAGCCCTGCCAAGCCTGACAGCCTCCCCGCCGCAGATGCCTGCCCATCCCAGCCCCACATCCCCTGCCAACCGCACACCCGGACCCCCACCCCGCCCGTTTGCCCTCTCTGCCCCTTCCACCCTAAACCAATCCCAGAAAAGGGGAGACAGGATTTTGCTTAAGCAAATATATCTACCTGGATCAAATTCAGGGATCCGAGCTTGGTATTCAGCTCCGACTCTCATCCCAACATCTGCAAAGCAATGCCAAAAAGAAAAAGAAAAGAAAGAAAAAAAGAAACAGGAAGAGACACTTAATAAAATATAAAAATTGCTGGAGGGAGGAAAGCAGCGGCGGGTGGACGGGAAGATATTAACTCGGGGCACCCCGGGAGATGGCAGCGGATGGGGGCGGGGAGCGGGGGGCGAGGGCGGAGGGACGGGGGTCGCGGGGGCGCTGCTGCACTGCACCGGGAGTTCGAGGCTACCGCAGCGCCCGGCTCCGAGGGGAGGGAGGGCGGGAGCGCGGCGAGGGGAGGGGGCTGGGGGAGGGGAGGAGGGAGGGGGGCCGGCGGGCTGGCGGGGAGGAGTTCGAGGCTACCACCGTGCTCGTCGTCGCTGCTGCAGCCGCTCTCGGGCTCCGAGTAGTGCAGCCCGCCGTTGGTGGACGAGGCGCCGCTGCCACCGCCGCCCGCTGGGCTCTTGGCGCTGCCGTTGGCCGCTCGGTTCTTCCCCAGTAACTCGGGCCCTTTCTCCATCATGCCGGGCATGGTAGAAGAGGGGAGGGGGAAAGGTGAGGGGGAGAGGTAGGCGTCAGGGTGAAGGGGGAGACGGCTAACGAGGGCGGGCGGGAGGGAGGGAAGGAGGCGGGGGACACGGCGGCGGCGGCGGCGGCGGCGGCGGAGGAGGAGGAGGAGGAGGAGGAGGAGGAGGGTGTTAATACGGAGCCGCCATAACCGCCCCGGTCCGGCAGTAGCGCAGTCGCCTCACAACAACCCGCCCCGGCCCCGCCTCTCCCCCCTCCTCCCGCCACCCGCCGCTGCCCGGGCTCCCCTCTCGGCCGCGCCGCGCGCTACGCCGCCGCCGGTATCACTCCGCCCCGCAGGGAGGTTCCGGCCCGCGGCGGGCGGGGGCCGCCGGGGCCGGGGGCGGGGAAGCCCCGCTCGCCGGCCGGCCGGGCAACCCCAGCCCTGCACGGACGTAACCACTGCAGAGGCGCGGCCGCCTCGCGGCTTCCTTCCTAGGGGGCGCTCTGGAGCGCGGGCGGGGCGCTCGCGAGGGCGCTGGACTCTTTGCCCTCTCTGGGCGGAAGGAACGCGGCCTTCCCGGGAGGCCGCCGCGACCCGAGGCGCCCGGGGAGCGGCCCCCCTCTTTCCAAGGGGTTGCGGTTCCGGCCCGCCGGGCGCGCACTGGCGGCGGCGCGACCTGCTGGAGACAGTGCGGCGGGCCGGCTTCTCGGCTGCGGGGCTCGTCCGCCAGCGCCGAGCTGGTGTAGGGCTCTCCCCGCCCTGGACTCGGGCAGTGCGGCCGGGCGGCCTTCGGGCTCCGAGGCTCCGCGGGCCAGAGAAGCAGGCTCGATCGTATTATCTGGACGCTGCAGTTTTTGTTTCTGGATCTCAGAACTGGGGCCTGATTCCGTAGAGGGACTGAGGGTGCTGAGATGAGTTTCTGATGCTGAGCAGTGCAGCTGTACTTTGCTAAAAGGTTTTTTTTAAAGCCCGTTCCTCCTGTTTCCCTTTTCTGATCTTTATTTCTTTTTTTTCTTTTTGTCTTTGTGATTTCATTAGTTAGGGAGTGGGTGCTCTCAGTGTTGAAATAAAATTAGGGACAGGGTCCTTGCTCTGTTGGCTCCTACTAAGTTCCTGCTGACCTGTGGCCAAGACTTGGAGCAGAGCTGTAGAGAGGGCGGAGTCCCCAAGCAGAGGTGAGGCTAGGGCTGCATTCTGGCAGCCATCCCAGCCTGGCAGGAGATATGCTCTGTAATGCTTTTCTGAATTGCATTAGGCAGAAGGAGTAGGGAACTGCGTTTTTCGTTCCCCAGATTTGAGGACGTCTGCTGTGTGCCAGGCTGCCTGGCATTGGGAACTATTTATGATTTTCTTATTTTTTGTTTGTTTTTGCTCACCAGTAAGTAGAAATAAGGACTTCCTGTACGCATCCAGTATGCAGATGTATGCAGAGCAGTATTTGGGGTCCACAGTAGGGTATTCTCCAAACACTTAAAAATAGAGACTCCCCTGTAAGAATTCTATTATAGGTCAACATGGAGTGGATCAAACCAGGAATAAACCTGTCTGGCCAGAACCAAGACTTCACCGAAGGAATTAACATACCTAAAGCAGGAATGTCTCAATCAGGAATTGAGCCAAGAAAACAACAAAAGCCTGGGAAATAAATATTTGGCAGGGTTCCTGGCTCAAGGGGAGAGTCTCCTGAGCAAGTAGAGAATCTGGTTCTGGTAGTGGAGGTAGTTTAACGTCTCTAGCAAACCTCGGTATGATTCCATTAAAATGGAATCATACAACTACATCTTTTATTCCTTTTCTCAACAAATAGATGTCTGAATATTATTTTAATTCCCACATAGTTTTTCTACAAGGAAAGAACATCCTGACCAAATGAAATGAATAGCCATTTCCCTTGACGCTTACGTGTTTGGTTGTAAAATAAAACATTGGTACTTTGGGTTTTATGTACAAGCTTCTAAGCAACATGATTCAGCATCTCTGGGCCTGTAATACAAAAGCCAGACCCTAAACTGAGTTCACAAAGATAAATGTCACTCTGAAGCCTCTTGGCCAGCCAGCTTTCTAACACTGCAACTTTGCAACACTTTCCAGCCACTTTTCTACAGAAAGGAATTTCTGGAAGATAAATCAAGGGCCCAAACACTAAAGATTTAGGGATTTTATAACACTTCTGTTCATTAGTAAAACCTTTAAAGGGAGGAGATCCCACATTTTTCTTGGGTGTAGTAAAGAGGACAGAGCAGAGAGCAGACTGCATTCCACTCTTGGGAGAACTTCAGGACCTGTGAGTTACGGCATTAAAAAAAAAAAAGCAGAAGAAGCTGGCTCTTCTGAGGAATAATAAGCTTTAAAATGATTCCTCAACAATTAACAAAGATAGTATAGAAAAAGACCTAAGGAGAAAATCTTGAGCGTGTCTCTAAGGGGTTAGAGGAAGAAAAGAATCTGGACAAGGAAGAAAAAAAAGGTTTAAGAAAGTGTCAGTAAGCAATGTTCAATGATGCCGTGTCATGCATGAGAAGGGTTTGGGAAAAGGATGCTGGTTAGTTTGTTGGCCTGCTTTTTACTGTACTAAAAAAAATTTTTTTTCTTTGTATTTTATTATTTATTTATTTTTAGATTTTTTATTAAGGTATGATTGATATACTCTCTTATGAAGGTCTCACATGAAAAAACAATGTGGTTACTACATTTACCCATATTATCAAGTCCGTACCCACACCCCAATGCAGTCACTGTCCA